GATGGCCAAGTGTCCTCTGTGAGCTTCAGTTCTAGTGCTTCCACAGGCTTGGTGGCAACTGTAATGGAGGAAAATACAATTGGAGCAAGTGGTGGAAAGGATGCCCTTCCATATGATTTGCACCTAATGACAGAGCCATACGGTGTCCCTTGCATGGTGGAGATATTTCACTTTTTGTGTTCTTTATTAAATGTTGTTGAGCATATGGGAATGGGTCCTAGATCTAATACAATAGCATTTGATGAAGATGTGCCCCTTTTTGCGTTGGGCTTAATTAATTCAGCTATAGAATTGGGTGGGCCTTCTATTCGTCACCACCCCAGGTTATTGAGTTTGATTCAGGATGAATTATTTCGTAATCTGATGCAATTCGGCTTGTCAATGAGCCCACTTATTCTCTCAATGGTTTGTAGTATTGTTCTTAACCTGTATCACCATTTACGCACTGAACTCAAATTGCAGCTTGAGGCTTTCTTCTCTTGTGTGATTTTGAGACTCGCACAGAGCAGATATGGTGCTTCATACCAGCAGCAAGAGGTTGCCATGGAGGCTCTTGTGGACTTCTGCAGGCAGAAAACATTTATGGTGGAGATGTATGCCAACTTAGATTGTGACATAACATGTAGTAATGTGTTTGAAGACCTAGCTAATTTACTGTCAAAAAGTGCATTTCCAGTGAACTGCCCTTTGTCTGCAATGCACATTCTTGCATTGGATGGTCTTATCGCTGTCATTCAAGGAATGGCTGAAAGGATAGGCAATGGATCAGTTAGTTCAGAACAGGCACCAGTGAACCTTGAGGAGTATACGCCCTTCTGGATGGTAAAGTGCAACAATTATAGTGATCCCAGTCACTGGGTTCCCTTTGTCCGACGGAGAAAGTATATCAAGAGAAGATTGATGATTGGGGCAGACCACTTCAACCGTGATCCAAAGAAAGGCCTAGAATTTCTGCAAGGAACACATCTCTTACCTGACAAACTTGACCCCCAAAGTGTGGCCTGCTTTTTTAGATACACTGCTGGCTTAGATAAGAATCTTGTTGGAGATTTCCTGGGAAATCATGATGAGTTTTGCGTTCAGGTTCTTCATGAATTTGCTGGGACTTTTGATTTTCAAGGGATGAATCTGGATACTGCTCTGCGGTTATTCTTGGAAACTTTTAGGCTGCCTGGAGAATCTCAAAAAATACAAAGGGTGCTTGAGGCATTTTCTGAGAGATACTATGAGCAATCACCACAGATTCTAGCTAACAAGGATGCTGCTCTTTTGTTATCTTATTCACTGATAATGCTCAACACAGATCAGCATAATGTACAGGTGAAGAAAAAGATGACAGAAGAGGATTTTATACGAAATAACAGGCACATAAATGGGGGCAATGACTTACCTCGGGAATTCCTGTCTGAACTGTACCATTCAATTTGCAAGAATGAGATCCGCACAACTCCAGAACAAGGAGTTGGATTCCCTGAAATGACCCCTAGTCGTTGGATTGATCTAATGCACAAATCAAAGAAAACTGCTCCCTTCATTGTATCTGATTCAATAGCATACCTTGATCATGATATGTTTGCTATAATGTCAGGTCCAACAATTGCTGCCATTTCCGTTGTTTTTGATCATGCAGAGCATGAAGATGTTTACCAGACATGTATTGATGGGTTCTTAGCTGTTGCAAAAATTTCAGCATGTCATCATCTTGAAGATGTACTGGATGACCTAGTTGTGTCTCTGTGTAAGTTCACAACCCTTTTGAATCCATCATCTGTGGAGGAACCCGTGCTAGCTTTTGGTGATGACACAAAAGCCAGGATGGCAACTGTGACTGTTTTCACAATTGCAAATAGGTATGGTGATTATATTCGTACAGGTTGGAGAAATATCCTGGATTGCATTTTACGTTTGCACAAACTTGGTCTTCTTCCAGCACGAGTGGCTAGTGATGCTGCTGATGAATCAGAACTTTCTGCTGACCCAGGACATGGGAAACCTATCACTAATTCTTTGTCTTCAGTTCATATGCAATCCATGGGAACTCCCAGAAGATCTTCTGGCCTGATGGGCCGGTTTAGTCAGCTGTTATCTCTTGACACTGAGGAGCCAAGGTCACAGCCTACTGAACAACAACTTGCTGCTCATCAGCGTACCCTCCAGACTATCCAAAAATGTCATGTTGACAGCATATTTACTGAAAGCAAGTTTTTGCAGGCTGAATCTTTATTACAGCTAGCACGAGCACTCATTTGGGCAGCCGGGCGGCCTCAGAAAGGAAACAGTTCTCCGGAGGATGAAGATACTGCAGTTTTCTGCCTGGAGTTGCTGATTGCCATTACTCTTAATAACCGAGACAGGATTGTGCTATTATGGCAGGGTGTTTATGAGCACATAGCCAATATTGTTCAGTCAACTGTAATGCCTTGTGCCTTAGTAGAGAAAGCTGTGTTTGGACTCCTCCGGATTTGCCAGCGGCTACTCCCTTACAAAGAGAACCTAGCTGATGAACTTTTAAGATCATTGCAACTTGTTTTAAAGCTTGATGCCCGTGTTGCTGATGCTTATTGTGAACAAATCACACAGGAAGTCAGTCGCCTGGTGAAAGCAAATGCCACGCATATCAGATCTATAATGGGGTGGCGTACAATAACATCCCTACTTTCCATCACAGCCCGTCATCCTGAAGCTTCTGAAGCTGGATTTGATGCAATTTTGTTCATTATGAATGATGGAGCTCACTTGTTACCAGCCAATTATGTTCTCTGTGTTGATGCAGCTCGGCAGTTTGCAGAGTCCCGTGTGGCACAGGCAGAAAGGTCTGTGCGGGCACTAGATCTTATGGCAGGTTCTGTTGACTGTTTATCACGGTGGTCTGATGAGGCTAAGGAAGCAATGGGGGAGGAGGAAGCTGCAAAACTGTTGCAGGATATTGGGGAGATGTGGCTGAGGCTTGTGCAGGGATTAAGAAAAGTTTGTTTGGATCAGAGAGAAGAGGTTCGAAACCATGCACTTTTGTCATTACAAAAGTGCTTGACAGGAGTGGACGGGATCAATCTGCCACATGGTTTGTGGTTGCAGTGTTTTGATCTTGTAATCTTCACAATGCTGGATGACTTGCTTGAAATTGCTCAGGGACACTCCCAAAAAGATTACAGAAACATGGATGGGACATTAATCATTGCTGTAAAGCTCCTGTCAAAAGTGTTCTTACAGTTACTTCATGACCTTTCACAATTAACAACTTTCTGTAAATTATGGCTGGGAGTGCTCAGCCGGATGGAAAAATATCTCAAGGTTAAAGTAAGAGGGAAGAAGAGCGAGAAGCTTCAGGAAGTAGTGCCCGAGCTTCTTAAGAACACCTTGCTTGTAATGAAGACAAAGGGAGTGCTAGTGCAGAGGAGTGCCTTAGGTGGGGACAGCTTGTGGGAACTAACGTGGCTACATGTGAATAACATTGCGCCATCTTTACAAGCTGAGGTGTTCCCTGATCAAGAATGGGAGCTGTCACAGCACAAGCAGGGCGAAACTGGAGGTGGTCTGGTGTCTGATGAAACAGGTTCTGTTCCTTCAAATGGATCAGTGGCTTCTGAAGGTTAAAACGAGCAGATGGTTTCATCCTCCTGCATTATTTTCGTAATACATGTAGCTGAGAGCACATGATTGCTAGCAGTGAGACAGTACATTTTCATGTCCAAACACCAAGGTTAACTTGAGTAGTTATAGAGATTCAGCAAGACTTAAGCAAGTCTCAGTATTGGCTCATGCTGTTGGATCCTAATTGCACAGAAGAAAGGAGTTAATACTGCGAACGACCTAAAGGTTGGTCAATTAGTGCTTCTAATCTCTGCTATCATTATCAAAATATGGATTTCCCTGAAGATATATAGGTATTCTAGGATTGTGTAGGATGTTTATGCAGAAGAAATATTTAACCCATATGATTTTGTATTTTGAAAATCTTGAAGGTTTTGGAAGAAATGCCTTATCTACTGTTTAGGAGATTTAAGCCTATGATTTGTATTGGCTTGCTCACTAATGTACAGAAGTAAAAAAATTGAAGACTTTTCTGTCTCATTTAGGTTTTTTCCGAGTATGATAATGAAGTGTACGATTTTGGCTGAAGATTTCTGATTATGCCTCTGCATGATTCAAAATCTTCTCTGGATGGATGTCTTGTTTTTAAACTACAGCGCTTGTATTACAATTTTCACCTAAAATTTTCTTGGGTTTACTCTCTCTTCATATTAAATTGCAATTTATGATCACAGATATAGTCTAATTACTATCAAAATAATAAAAAAAATCCTAAAATGAAAAATCTCAAATTTAGATTTCAGTATTTTTATAATCTGTTGAAAATCTAAATAAAATAAAATTAAAAAATCTTAAAAAACAATCCGAAATTTAGATTTTAGTGTTCTTATTGTTAGTTGAAAATTTTCAATTGCCTTTGGTAATGATATATATAATATATCCACAGACAGTGAAAAGTAAGTTTTTTAAAATGCAATATACATACACATTATGATTTGTTATTGACGCAATGCCCCTTTGGATATTGAAATTTTCCATTTTTGACTTGAACTTATTGCAAGGCCAGTGCCATATTATTTTCACAGAAAAATATAAATTAGATCCTAAATTATAGTTAAACTAAGACATGAGTGTCTTTATTTTAAAAACTAATTATGAGTCCCAAATTACCATTACATTTGTCCTTTCATTCAACATAATATTTTTTAACTGATTGATAAAAAAAATGAAATTATTTCTTGTATAAAAACTGATTTTAAGGTAAAAAAAAAATAAATTAACTTTTAAATTATAATCAAACTAACTATAAAATTCTTAAATTACAGTCCGTTAATACTTTTGTCGTTATGTTTTGAACGTAGAGGTTGATGAAAGAATCAAAGTGTTAGTAATATTTTGATCCTTTGGAGATATTATGGTCATTTTAAAAATAAAATAAAATAAAATTTCGTGCGTTAATTTGACTATAACTTGATCAAAGAAAAAACGAATCGTTTTACATCATCCACATTCCAGATTCCACTGCTGCCGTCTTCAGCGTGAAGTCAAATAAGGGAAAACAGCTGCCAGAGTCATTCGTTTCTAAAGAAATTTACTTTTCGTCGGTTTGCAAATTTACATCCGTCTGTTCGTTTTCTCTCTGTGTAAGCAAAGCAAAACTTCCTTTTCTCTCAAAGATCCAAATCGATCTGAAATTATGAGCGATGTCTTCGAAGGATACGAGCGCCAGTACTGCGAGCTCTCTGCAAATCTCTCCCGTAAATGCAACTCCGCTTCTCTTCTCTCAGATGGAGGTACACTCACCATCAATTTCTCTCCTCTTTCTTTTATAAAAGCCGTTGACCGATGCTCATTTTTTGTTAATAATTTGCAGAGGAGAAGAAGGAGAAGATCTCCGAAATAAAATCTGGACTGGATGATTGTGATGTGTTGGTGCGTTTTGGAAGATTAGGTTTCTATTCTGCGTTTCAGTTTGTTGTTTGATTTTGGTTCTTTCTTGACTTTCTGTTTTTGCTTGGTAGATTCGGAAGATGGACCTTGAAGCGAGAAGTTTGCAGCCAAGTGTGAAGGCTATGCTTCTTGCAAAATTAAGAGAGTATAAATCTGATCTTAATAAGTTGAAGAGGGAATTTAAGAGAGCAACTTCAGGTAATGCTGGTCAGGTTGCCCATGAAGAGTTGTTGGAGGCTGGAATGGCTGATGTAAGATCGGTAAATATGATTTGTCTTGTTTTGCTTTAGGATTATGTGTTCATTTGTTTTCTGGTGTGTGATTCACCTTTTTTGGTTTAATCTCACGTATTCAAGACTTTTGTTTATGGTTTTTGGTATCTGTATATACAAAATTTTCTCTCAATCTTTGATTACATTGTCCAAACATGGCCTAGTTGCTCTCTTAGCTTTGTGAAGCCTTCTGGTGAATTTCATTAGGTAGTTTTATTTCATTTTTGTTGTGTTTAAAGAGTTCAATTTCAACGTGTGCTGGAGAGCTATAGCATACAATGAATTTATTGTTATTCCTGATGATTCCTATTGCTTCGGCTGTGTCGTCGAATTTAGTTGCATTAAGATCTACTGTAAGTTTGTTTATAGGGTTATCTTCTTGCTTGCTGAATTATTGTATTCATGTTTTCGGCAAATGAAAGCACAAGAAAAACTAAAAGAAAACTTGTGTTCTGATCTTTTTACTGAATGGACCGAATGTATTAAGCAGAGTGTAAAAGAAAACAGTTTTCAAGTGCTACTAGTCAGTTAAGACATTACTTCCCTACATTTCTGTTGAAATGTCAACATATATAATTGTCCCTTTTCTTTGACTTTTCTCTGTTAACTAACATTTGGTTGATGATTGCAGGACTTTTTTTTGTTGTCTCAGTACTTGAACAAGTTACATACGAGATGAAATTTTTATTATTATTATAGTTTGGCGAACATTTTGTTAATTGGTAATGACGTACAGGCTTCTGCGGATCAAAGGGAAAGATTGTCTATGTCAGTAGAGAGACTAAACCAGTCAGGTGATAGGATTAAGGAGAGTAGAAGAACAATGCTGGAGACAGAGGAGCTTGGTGTTTCAATTCTTGAAGACTTGCATCAGCAGCGACAAACACTTCTACATGCCCATAACAAGGTACCCCCTCTCTCTCTTCTTGGATGGGGAAAAGGGGAAGTGGTTCACTCATGTGGAAAGAATGTTCGATCTGATGTCCTTCATTCAGTTGATGTTCACTTTTCCACTTACATTTTATTCAGATATCTAGTGCCTCTATTTATTATTATGTCAATTAGCCATTCGTATTAAATCTTTGTTAGATCTTTTATCATTCTTTTGTTACACCTTCAATTGATAAATGGCTGTAATCCTTGCTGAAGTTGTGAACTAGCTCGCTGAAGTAGCAGTTTTTGCTTATAGTTACGATCTAATTTCATTTCTTTGTTTATTTTTACCTTTTCAGCTTCATGGAGTAGATGATGCCATTGACAAGAGTAAGAAAATCTTGACTTCTATGTCTAGAAGAATAAGCAGAAACAAGTGGATTGTTGGCTCAGTAATTGCTGCTCTTGCGATTGCAATCATCTTTATTATCTTCTTTAAGTTTTCTCATCGCTAATAAACCCTCGGAATTGTGGTACATGTTATACGTTGTTACTTTACATGTAATGTGTATATAGAATCGCCAAGTGATCTACTGAACATCAACCATTTACCATTCATGCTGTATTTTTGGAATTGTACATGCTTGTCATTTTCCTTTCATGTTGTCATTATGCATTCAAGAAAAGTTATCTGGTTTTATTTATGCTACCGGTTGCTTTGATAAAATTATTTTTTTTTTGTAATAACCACCACACAAAAACATATACATGATGAAATGGTAGGTTACCCCTTCGCATTTTATTAGTGACTTCGATACTAAGATTATGAAGGCAACGACGAAGTATTCTAATATATCAGTTCATTTAAACCAATTATTCTTTTATTCGGATGGTTTTTATTCGGCCAAAAAGGCGTGTAAATTTTTTTTTTTTTTTGGCTAATTGTAAAATGGATGTTGAGCTACTGTAATTTGGTTTTATAATTCATACCTCAAATGGATCATCTACATGCGACGGCTAAGGGACAAGTTAGGGAAACTGAAAATGCTAGGGAAGATTTGTGTCCATATGGAAAGGCTAGTTAGCGGCTGCCAACGAAGTTATTATATAGGAGCATAGGTTCTTTTCAGATGCTTTTAAATGCGTCTGAGATTGTCATTTGAATTGGTGCTGCGATTGCGAAAGGCATTTTATTGAAAATCATTGAATTATATTTTTAAAGTGGATTTTACATATATTAGTCGTAAAGATAGTTAATAGCATTTAGATTGGGAATACGTCTGGGCCAAAGTTTGGTGAATTCTGGATTACATGAATTGCCCATTAGTCTAAGGCTGGCTGCTTCTATCATACTCTTTTTTTCACACGGGAATCGTACAAAACTACAACCACGTGGACGGAAGGCGTCCTGATCATTGATCAATGCTTGTAACTTTGTATTTATAAATTTATAGTAAACATAGTAATAATAATAATTTCAACCCATTTTTTTGGCTCTGAGTTTGACCGGTCTGCTTCTACAGACCCAACCCAAACCAACCAAACTCCTCTTCGGCCCCACCACTCCGAAAATATCCTACACAACAAGAAGAAGAAAATCAGATTCTCACAGAGCCAAACTTCAACTTCCCCTGTTCCTCCTCCAGCCACCGTATTTTCCAGCAACTGAGTCTTTCACGCAGAGAATTTCTCTCTCGCTCTCTGTTCGATTATATTACTGACCTAACCGTTCAACAAAATTCTCAGTTGGTTAACATAACATATATACAAAGAGACTGTGTGATCTAATCATGGATTCCCTCGCGTCAGTTTCTCCTTCCATAGTTCTCCCTCCCAGTAAACCTCTTCCTACACGACGTCGTTCTATCTCTACGGCCTCCTCTTCCTCCGCTTATAATCTTCGTCCTCGCCTTTTTATCTCATATTCTTCAGTATCTTCAAGAAGGAGATGGACACGAGTTTCATGTAAACTGAGCGGCGATGGTAGGGCTAATCGTCCAGAAGATGATGAAGAAGACGACGGACAAGAGGAGGTGGATAGGGCGCTTCACTTGGATGGTACAATTCCAGGAACCTCGAATGAGTTCGTTAAGCAAGTGTCTTCTCGTGCTTACGATATGCGAAGACATCTTCAACAAACATTTGATAGCAGTAGCTATGATGGTAACAAATAACCCTGTGATTCGATTCAATTCAATTCAATAATTGTGCACATGACTCTTGATTTAAATTCTTTTTATTGAAAATTGATTCTGCTTAGCTGTTGTTTCTTGAGCCTTTTTCCAGTTCTTTTTCGATTCTAATTGCGTGGACGAATTCGCTTTTTGCAGTATGTGCTTGAGAATCTGAATCCGCAGTTTCCTTTCTAGATGATAACTGATATAAATGAATCTATATGGTTGGATTCACTGTAGTTTTGGACATTATAAATGGGTTAATTTTTGTGGTGTAGAGTTAGAGTTCTGTGCATATTACGTCATTTTTTGCATTTGTTGGTGTTGGTGTTGGCTGGAGCGATTTTCACTTCTGCTCTTCTCCGTTTTAGCCTTTGCCTCTTATGCTTAGATCTAGTTTCCTTGCAAGGATATAGGGGTGATCATGTGTCTATAATGCTCCAATCCGTATATTGACCTCTAACTCTCTAAGCAACTGAACTGGTGTTTCCAAAATCTCTGGACTGCTCAACTTTGGTCTGCTTGAGAAATATAGTTTTCTTTTTTGCAGAAAAGTACTACTCCAGAGTCTGCCTGTTCAGAAAGAGACACAGAGAATCTGCTAGTGTTGCTTATATTCCTTGTGGAATTTGAGCACGTACTAGTTTAGCTGTATAAGTTATTCATTTATGGATCAAAGCTGTTTCTTGTATACATGATTAATGTATTATCTTGTGATTTTCTAAATCTGCAGTTTTGTTATTGAACTATGTCTTCGCTTGCTTTTTCCACAATGTTTAACGAAATTTCTCCATTTTTTATTGTTGTTTAGTATTGGATGTCAACCCGTGGAGAGAGACCTCAAAGCCTGTATATGTACTAACCCACAGAGAAAACCAGTTGTGCACAATGAAAACTCGAAGAAATCGCAGGTCTGAATTGTTTTCAGTGTTTTATCTTCTATCAAATTCTTGTTATGTTGCCCCAGTCACAAATGAGGTTTTGCTTTTGAAACAGTGAGGTGGAGAGGGAGCTTGGGTTACTATTTTCTAAAGGAGGAAAGCGGAGATCTGAAATGGGAAATCAGGCTAAACAGCCCAGAAGAGGGACAAAGTTCCAGATGCTCGTGGAGGATGTTAGAGAGGGCGTGCTTGTAAGTGCTTGTTTCTGTTACTCTTGTTACTTGCTCTTGAATTCAGTTTTAAAACAATAAATAATATGGTAAATACATGAGCCCAAGCACCATAAGACACTGGAGTATATAATGGCACATGTAGAGAACTAACACCGAACTGCTAAGTCAGTCCCTGCGTGGTACAGCAATACTTACAGAAATCATTGAGAATTCCTTCTACAGTAGGTCCACCCAAAAAGTCCGTACTTGCCTCATCTGCCGTTTTTTCCCTGTTTCTAAAGACATTCAAGCACCTGTAATCAACCTCCAATTGTGTGGTGGATTAAATTTGCCTCTATCCTTTGTGATGTTTTCATTTATGTTTAAATTTTCACATCTCCAGTGACATAGTTGGTGTAATTTTTGATGACCTCTTATTGTTTTGTTCCCAAATGCCCATACATATTTCATGTGTGAGTTAATTCAAAGCTGGCTTTTATTTATTTGATGTCCCATTTAATCTCTCTGTTGCTCAGTCAAAGTAACAAAATTCTTGCTGCAGGTATTTGAAGATGAGAATGAAGCTGTAAGATATTGCGATTTACTGCAGGGAGGAGGTAAAGGATGTGAAGGTGTCGCAGAAATCGAAGCCTCATCAGTAAGAATCCAAACAAAAAATTTGATGCACCCCTATTAAAGAGAAATTTTATAATGGTCTTCTTTTTCCATGCAGGTATTTGATCTTTGCCAGAAAATGAGGGCTCTTGCTGTTCTATTCCGAAGGGGGAGGACACCTCCCCTGCCACAAAGCCTTGAGCTCAACTTGAGAGCTCGTAAGAGGTCCCTTGAAGACCAAGAGGACTTGATATGAAATTCAGGTGATTATGTGAGATGTGCTATTCTAAATAATGAATAGCATAAAGTAAATATTGTAATTAAAATGATATTCACAAATTGTATGACATAAAAAAACATAGCTCAATTTACACATTTACACATGTATGCTCAATGGTCATGATGTTCTTCCCTTTCCTGGAAAAATTGAATTCAGTTGGATGTTAGATTTACATTGTCTTTTTCTTTTTCTTTTTTTATTGAAGTCTTGAAGACCCTAATAAAAGTAGTGGGACCTGCATAAAGTGAATTTAATACTCTCAATGTCAAGAGTTGTTGCTGTCATTTATACGAGTCTATAGTATAGATCAGTGATGAGTTGATTATTAGCTGATTGATTATCTTTATCCCGTTATCCGTTTTTTACGATACGCATCAACATACAAGACGTTTTTTTCGTTTGAAAGCGTGTAAGGCCGAAATTGGAAAGCAAATGATAATAGCAAAGAACGAACTGCTCTTCATTTATTTTATAGGCACGTGTATTTTACCTTTTCTTCTACTACGAAATTAAATGCAAGTTCTGGCGTGTATACCGATAGTTTTAATTTAAAATTTCATAGTTGATGGATTATTAATATGAGGACATATTAAAAAAATTAAGAAAATGGCAATATGACGATATTAACTATTTCATTAAACTGTGAGAAAATTAACTCAAGCTCTATAAATGGGATGGATGGGTGGAGTAGTTTAGAAATTATTATACCTTAAAAATAAAAATATTATTTAAAAGTTATTATTTAAAATTAATTTCACATTTAATCACAAATATTTTCATAGAAACAATAGTCTTACACATTTTGTAATATGGAGGACTTTGAACTCCAGACTACATATATTTCTCTGTAAATCATACCAGGGTGTCATTGGCACCGTCCTCCTAATGTTCTTCATACATACTATGACAATTAGCATATGGTAACAGTAAAAGTAAATAAACGACTCGCGTTTTCACTCGACGCCTCCCAAAGAAAATGAGCGAGCAGCTCGAGTTTAACGCACGAACACCGAGTAATAAAGGTCGGTAAAAAAAAAAAAAAAGAGCGAATCTAGTTTATAATTCTGTTGAAAAAGTAAAATCATAATAACGGAAACAAAGTTACAAACCTCCACTTTACGTCTAACCTCTGTTACCATCTCCCAGTTGGCCGCTTCCAACATCCAATAAAACTACACGCTCACATAAAGCCTACGGAAACGACTCTCCATTTCTTTTCTGATCCGATCTGCTCTTCAGCCATGAGCTCCGGTAATTCCTCCTCCTCTTCCCTCGGCGACGCTGCGTCTAACATGACTGGCCGAGGAGGCTCCTCCTCCTCGGAAAAACAAAAAGAGAAGGCCAGAGTTAGCAGAACTTCATTGATACTGTGGCACGCTCACCAAAACGACGCCGCTGCTGTTCGGAAGCTTCTTGAAGAAGATCCGTCTCTCGTTCACGCCAGGGATTATGATAACCGGACTCCGCTCCATGTCGCGTCCCTTCATGGATGGATCGAGGTTGCTAAGTGTCTGATTGAGTTTGGCGCCGATGTCAACGCCCAGGATCGATGGAAGAATACGGTATCGTTTCTTGTCATTTTGCATTGATTGCTGTATGTATACTTGTTGACAATTTTAGAATTCAATTTTAATTATGTAATTTTGATTATATAAGGCCAATGTATTATTCAAATTCATAGAGATAATGTTTGCTTCCTCTGAGCTTAACACACTAATTTGGCATTTAATCTTTGTCATGGCAGCCTTTAGCTGATGCAGAAGGAGCTAAGAAACATAACATGATTGAGCTTTTAAAATCATATGGTGGCTTGTCTTATGTAAGTTTGGTGCTTCCTCTCCTATCCAAAATCTTTAAATCAATTTATTTCTTAATCTTTTGCGTAAGTTGCCAATGATCTTAAAATGCCTTAGTAATTCATGTAAAATGTTGATTTGACCACTTTTAACTTTCCATTTCTTTATTTTCTTTTTCCGGCTCCAGTTTCTAGAGATCAGATGTTTCTTTTGAGGCTTCTTGCTGGATTATGTCCATGTTTTTTGTGCACAGCAAATAAATTTGGTGAAAGGAAATATTTGCGATTCTGTCAATTATTCAACAATGAAATTCCGTAGATCCTATCTGTTGTTGCTTTTATTGGTTTATTAATGCAAATTTGTGCTTTTTGATGCAGTGATACTAAATATACATACTTAATCTCGATTTGCTGGAAACTAGAAATGCATACAATTCATGTCTAATCTTTAAGTGTCATTGCCATAGCCTATTGCATTTACTTGATATACTTTCATTCCTTGCCATTTGTTCTTTGATTACTTATGTGGGTCTAGCTAAGTTTGTGAACTCAAACTGCAGGGCCAAAACGGAAGCCATTTTGAACCAAAGCCTGTTCCACCACCTCTTCCAAACAAGTGTGACTGGGAAATTGACCCGTCAGAGCTTGACTTCTCAAACTCAGCAATTATTGGAAAGGTTTGATTTTATCTGTCTTGATAGTTGATTATGCAGATTATTATGCATCTATCAACAAATTGTTTTAGTAAGTCATGCTTTGCGCTTTGGATTGTGTATGCTATTAAGTTTAGTTAACATTGTAATTAGGACCTTTTGCCTGTTATTCTACAGCAGCTATGAGTGCCTGTAATTATTGTTGGTTTTTGAAGAATGCATTACATTATGTCCCTGAACAGAGAATTAGGTTTAACTTTGTCTATGACTTGCATGGCGAAAAAAAGCTTTTTGTCTTGGAAATCTTTTAGTTAAAGGATGAGGAAGTTGGTTTATCGGATTTTTCATTTTTATTATGGAAGATTTTATCACCTTTTGGGTTTTGGCATCATCCAATCATATGATCATTTTGACTTAGTTTATTACCTGTCATTAGTCGGCTGTCATGTTATGCTGTCAAATCCAATTAACTGCATATGCCTATCCTTACGAGAAGTTGCCAATTCATGAAGGTGATGTGAAAGGTCTTAAATCGCAGTGGTAGTCATGCATGCCCGATGAGTATCAGTCACGGTCAGCACTATTGTGAATTTGTAAATGATACTATTGGGTGTGTCATTCTGTCACTATCATGATAAATTCACTCATATGATTGGTTTGATATGACATATGAGAGCTAATATTTAAAACCATATTTGTGAAAATGCTCAAGTTTCACGGGGTGAAGCATACATTCACTCTGTATCATCTCCTTGAAGTTTTATATTGTCAGGGGTGTAGTCTTGACCCACCTGTTCATTCCATCTACTAATTTGCAACTAATGAGAGAGCCATATTAGGTCCTTTGCCGAACATAGCTCTGCCACTGGCATTTTCCTCATTAAATCTCAATGTTGTCACTGACTTGAACTTAATATCCTGAATTTTCCTTAAACTTGATGTGTTGTTTGTCATTAGTATTAAAAATTAGCTATATTTAGAACTCGTTTTGCTATTACAATAAGGGGAACTTTTCTCTTGGGCTATGTTGAAATAGACTAATAAACTGAAATGAAATTTTATTTTGTAATTCTCTCTTGAAAAAACAAATATGTTTTTCCAAAGCAATTCATCTAGAAATCCAGGTGAAACTCTTCAAATGGCCAATAATTCTTTTTGCAGGTCGTCTCTGCTTATGAAATTGTTGAGGATGAATTATTTTGTTGAGAGGTTATATATCCTTTTTGTAAAACATGTCATAATGGAGGGGGGAGAGAGAGAGAGAGAGATCGAGATTATGTTTTCATATTTTAGTTTTGTGCCTCTATAGTTAAATGTTTTGTTCTACCGCCTTGTCCTATTTTAAGTTGTGCTTTTTAACTTGCTGCAGTCATCTTTCAAATTCTATTATATTTTCTCTAAATATATCTTCAATTTCTACTGCTAATAGTTTGGTTATGCTGTTAGGGATCTTTTGGGGAGATTTTGAAAGCCTATTGGCGAGGAACTCCAGTGGCAGTCAAGCGCATTCTTCCATCCCTTTCAGATGATAGATTGGTGATGTGAGTCCTTCTATTGGAATTTCACTTACACGTTCTATTATAGTTATGTTGGTTGATTTTCATTGTGGACCCTTATCGACTATAATTCAGATGCGAAATAAAATATGACATCAGCAGTACTTTAACGTAATAAACTTCTTTTAAAGATATATTTGTTTTCAACAAATAGATAGTGTGCTATAATTTGAGCTGTATTTTAAAGGCTGTTACCAGAACCAAAATAATGATGGTGTTAATATATTTTAACTGCAAAGGCATGGAATCCTATTGATGATGGTGTTAACATATTCTCTTAGAATTTCTTCTTTGAAGGTGGTGAGTCTCTACTTTCTGTTTAAATTAAGTTGAATTTTTGCTTCCCTTATGCTATTAGTATAGTGTCTCAGTTCTCAGGAAATTGATTAATTTGGTACCCGTTGTGTATAATTCTACTTCTCTTCAAACCCTGTTATTTATTTTATTTTGGTTAAACTTACCATTATTCACTTTCCTGATTCAGTCAGGATTTCAGACATGAGGTTAATTTGCTAGTGAAGCTTCGCCACCCAAATATAGTCCAATTTCTGGGAGCTGTCACTGACAAGAAACCTCTTATGTTGATCACAGAGTATTTACGAGGGGTATATGACTTAGCATTTGTTCCAAATCTTACACTCCATCCTTAAGAGGAGCTGTTAATGACATAAAAATTTTATGCAAAGTGACTCTGCTTGATCATAGCTTTTATGTGATTTGACAGGGTGATCTCCATCAGTACCTCAAGGAAAAGGGTGCACTTAGTTCTTCAACAGCCATCAACTTTGCATTGGATATTGCCAGGTATTGTGAGCTTCTATTTCTTCTTTGTTCTCCTGAGGGAAAAATGTGGGGATCTCTTACCTCTATATTTTAGCTTTTTATTTGTAGTTAGTTTATATTTCATGGTAAAATAATTTAAGCTTTACTAGTTGTACCAATTAACACTTACTTCATAATGTTCTATTTTATTATTTTTTTCAGTGATTCATTAAGCTATGGTTGAATCATTTTTCTCAAACTGCAGTTTGTTTCTATTTGGAACATGTGATGGGCCTGATGACTATGTGACCCCATTCATACAACATTATGTGGTTTTTTCCTTGCCGGGTTGTTTTAGCTGGTCATATGCATTTTTTTTTTTTTTTTTTCATCAGAGTATCCTCCACCGTTGACCTCTCTAGGACAATTTGATAGATAGTTAATAATTGATGGGAACAAATACCCAAAGTTGAAGCTCTCATGGCCACAGCTGCGTTCACTCAAAATACAAAGTAATCCGAATGACACACAAAAAAGTTATTATCCTCCGGGGGAATATAAGCTAGTCCGCCACCTGTTCGTACCAAAGATATACCGCTCAAATCTATGATTTTCTATTGAATCCACACAGACTGGTTAGAGCTATTTTTTACGATGGTGAGTTATATGCACTGGATTAATACTGAACTCTCCATTAAGGCGAATTTATGTTTCCCAAATGCTCTAGCACTCACTCTCCCTCTCTCCTATTCTTCGACCAGCGAGGAGAGCTTGAGCTCTATTCTTACTCACCTTCTAGACATACCAAAAATTTGGACTTTGCACACCCATGCATACCAGTGGTGCCCACACTTTCCTCTTGCCTTATGTCCCTAATTCTAGTCGGTTGTCTTCCTGGTTTATTGTGAGTCTAGGTGACCTCAGGAGGTGACTCCGTCCTGCGGAGCATATCAGCCGCGTACCGCCTTTGGCTTTTGCCTCTTGTGCCAGCTTTGAGCTTCTCCATCCCCAGAAGTCTTCAACTTTGGATATCTTCTTCACCTCAGATTCAGTGCTCGCTTTCAAGCGATAGATACAGTAGCGATACTCGCTACTGATAGTCTCATCCTGTTCACACACATGCCCATACCAGCAAAATTCTTCCTGGCGAAAGTTGATGGATATTTTCCGGGTGAGCCTCTAAACGGGTACTATGCTGTTCTGATGCCCTTTCCCTCATATATCGCTGTCTTTCGTTCTTCCATGCATGATGAGGAATACCAATGCTGGGTAGAGTCAGTGGAATCTCACTTACCGGTCTTTCTTCACTATCTTTCTAGCTTCTTGTATAATATCTTCTCTGTCTAGTTCCAGGCTGTTGTAGTATTATTTCATAAGGGTAAAATAATTTAAGCTTTCACTAGTTGTAGATCTGCAATTCCACTATAACACCTCTACTTTCCGATTACCACTGGTTTCCTCTGATTGGAGATATTTCTCAATGAATCTTCTTATTTTCACAAGTTGATTTTCATTATAGTCTCTATCGCTTAGCTTATTGGTTGGAATCTACTAGATTGTGTCTCTATACCATCTACTGACCTGTGCCTATGTGTTATGGTAAGATCTATTTATAGGAACTAGCCTATTGATGATAGTCGGCTTGCCTTTGACCATGAACTCTATATAATGTTTGAACCTCGGATAGCTCGCCCGATGAGTAGAGTCGCATTTTCTTACAATATATATACATTATACCCAACATTATGCAGTCTTCAGAGTCGTTGTTAGTCTTCTCGTGCTCCTTGGTTCACTATGACACCGCGACGGTTGTTGTTATGCTATGGTTGAAAATCTAGGACCTACTAGTCATATGATCTTATTTTTGTACCTATTCTATAGTTTATCGTTTCTTTTTATGTATGATAGATGGGGATACCTCAGTGTCTTATTGATGTTTGTCATCTTTTGCTCTTTTTGGTCGGGGTTGAGCGACCAGACCATGCTGGCTAAATTATTAAACTTAGGAGAAAGAAGCACAGAAAGTTGAAGAACCTTATAGGACCACTTATTTCTTTTTCAATATTACATGCTTTATGAATATGTGCAAGCCATATAGCTTGCCTGTTCAATAATGTTGTGGCCCCCACATTGTTATAATTACTACTTGTGAAAGCCACACGATAGAAAGGTACGTGGAATCTTGAAGCCATACTTAGACTATATGCTTCATGTACTAAACCTATATATCTAATCTGTTGTTCTAACTAAGTGGACACTCAGATCTCTTGCGCTTGACTTGTCACATTCATCTGATCTCGTCACTGCCAGCTTCATAACGAATGATTTTTTGTTACCTTTATTTCCTGATTGGCAGTGCTGATCCGGACTTGCATCTTCTAAATCGATCACATTTTGACCAGAGGCATCGAGGATGAGGTATTACCGGGTCTTCCTCAACCATGAGAGCCCAGTGTCTAGGTCTTATTCACAGATGGTTACCTACAGTAAACCAAGGATCGAGTAGTCTATACCTTAGCCTTGTTGCCAAATAATTCTGCTTAACACACTAGCCACTAATCAGGCCTTTCTTAGATGGTATAGTGTCCTTCTCTAGTCTATTAAGCAGGATCTCTCTGTATTTTTGCATTTACCCGACGGATCAATGTTTAAGGTTGTGAATCGGCATTATTTATTGCAGACGCCATTGAAACACTCTTATGTTGTCAATATTCTTTGGGAGGGAGAGCAGCCTTTCACCTTATGTCATTTGTTAATTAGCATCCTACCTTCCATAGTTTTTTTTTTTTTTTTTTTGTGTGTGTGTGTTCTTTCCTTGACAAATGCTGGTAATATAAAAAAGAAGCACAGAAAAAGTTGAAGAACCTTATAGGCATTATTTCTTTTTCATATTACATGCTTTATGAAATATGTGCAAGCCATATAGCTTTGTATACAATAATGTTGTGCCACATTTTATTTACTTGTGAAAGAAAGAATGGGAAATCTGAACCATTTAGACTTTTAGCCTAAAAAATTTTACTAAGTGATTCATGCAGCTTTAATGATTTTGATTATTATGCTAATTTGCATCTTCTAAATCATATTTGACCAGAGGCATGGCTTACCTTCACAATGAACCAAATGTCATTATTCACAGAGACCTAAAACCAAGGTGAGTTTACTTCTGTGCCAAATTCTGCTAACAAATAATCAGGCCTTTTAAGTAGCTCCTAGTAAAGCCATTCTGTAATTTAAGGCTTTAAGTGGAGCATTTCATTTTGCAGCAAAATTTGCAATATTCTTGGGGAACAGCTTTAGCATTTTATAGCATCCTACCTTCCAGTGTTCAGAATATTGACATGTCATTTTAATCATCTTTTCTGTTTTTACCTAATTAATGTGTACTCTAAATCTTAGGAATGTTCTTTTAGTTAACTCCAATGCTGACCATTTGAAAGTTGGAGATTTTGGATTGAGCAAGCTCATCAAGGTTCAGAATTCTCATGACGTGTACAAAATGACTGGCGAGACAGGAAGCTGTGAGTGTTGCTTGTGAAATTGTTGTACATGAATTTTGTTCTTGTGCTTAATTTTTCCTTTTCTTTTTTCTTAACAAACCAATAGATCGGTATATGGCTCCGGAAGTATTCAGGCACCGGAAATATGATAAGAAAGTTGATGTTTTCTCTTTCGCGATGATACTATACGAGGTAATTTTTGGTTTCTGCAATACAAGATAACAACACAGAGTATTCAAAATGAGTTGTGATGCATTTTCTTGCTCAATGCAGATGCTGGAAGGGGAACCACCACTTGCAAATTATGAACCTTATGAAGCAGCAAAGTTTGTGGCAGAGGGGCACAGGCCAACTTTTCGTGCCAAAGGATTTACCACTGATCTGAGAGAGTAAGTCTAAGTCTATACATTTCCAGTGCATCACATTTTCCCCCCTTTCTTCTTCATGGAAATTGTTTTTATTTGGTTCTATGTAATGAAATGTAAAAATCTTAAAATCCATAACTAAACTGAACTTGAAAAGCCCTACCAAATTTACCAAACTGCATTGGTTGAGTTCTGCATTTCTGTTTAAATTGAATAATGCAAAGTACGTTTGACAAAGGCTGCTGATATTTGTCCAATTAAAGTAAATCATGTTATCTTTAGTCCGAATCTATTTTATCATCCTAATATGTCTTTTTAAAAGTCAACTTACTTATTTAAGGTGGAACTGTCTTCTCAAGACACTTTCCACCCCACATCTCTTCCCCCAAAAGCAATAAATAAATTAAAGAAGCCAGTCTTGAAACAATCCTCAAGTTGTTTGTTAACTAATATCTTCTTTTGAATGTTTGTAGATTAACAGATCAGTGTTGGTCTGCTGATATGAATAAAAGACCTTCTTTCCTGGAAATTCTCAAGAGGCTTGAAAAGATCAAGGAAAATTTAGGTGGAGATCATCATTGGAACATATTCACTGCATAACACTGGAGCAATGAAATGGTCAAATATATATGGATATACACGACACTCGAGCTAGTCATTTCTTATGCCCACAATTGTGCAGATGGTGTTGTTAATAGATTTGACTGCAAAAGATTGTGAGACGCTGCTGTTGCTGGTTTTTCACTAAATGCACCAGATTTTTTTAATGGTCAGAGTTGGCATTCGCAAATCTTTTCCATATTGATATGGAGCCAGCTTGTCAAGTAATATCGATTCGATTAATATACATAAACATGCATATTATCTGACCCTGTATTTTTCCTTTGTTTTCCAATTGTAATTTGTTGTGGATTTGAAAGTTCTTAGGTGCTTTTTCCTGTCCTTGTATATGCTAGGCTTCATAAAATTTGGCAATTCAATTCATAAGCGTACGAGAAATTATATCGTATTGAATATTCTTTTAGGGTTCATATCGTTTGGTTTTTAGCTCAGGATGCTTATAATTGCATCTAAAATGCTACGAAGCTTATGTCCTTACACAAGGACAGTAAACAATCTATTAACGGTCAGCAGGATGACTTTTAGCTATGTGCGGAAAGCCGATCAGTTATTTTCAGTTCAATGTGTAACTGTTTTGCAAAGATACATCCTGACTGGCTCTCACGACTTTTTGTTGTCCAAGCATCTAGGCAAACATACACTATCAGAATATAAACTGCATGAGAAGTTACAAAAATCCCAAATTAGTCTAAAATATTCTTCAGAAAGTATATCATTTGTAGAGAGCATTTTACAATCAGAGAAAAAAAAGAAAATTGTATTCGTCTGTTCAAATTATAATTAAATGAGCTTCTTTTTCTCGAAAAAGGTCTTCAAGTGCCATACTTGCAATCCTGCCACTGATAAACAAATAAGAAGAGAGAGTAAACTGAACCAACCCATTCTTGAGTTAGTAGCTCGGTTCAGCTCTTGCATTGCTTCTTCCCTGCACCAACACCAAACATTTTAAAATTGAGTTTGATGTTCAAAGCATAAACATCATCCTTTTCAAAGAAATTTCATTTATCAGTTTTCATGCTCTTTACCTTTCACGAAGATAATACATCTCCTCCTGAATGGAAGTAACAGTATCATACAGCTTCTTCAGCTCTAATTCCATTACCTGGCATTTTTTTAAAAAGAAAAAAAAAAAAACAATTGCATAAGAATCTTTTCATGTTTTGCTCATGAAATTTGAAAATATAAAACAAATTCAGAATTCCTGAGATCAAGTAAGAAACACAGAAGAAATGCATTAATAAAAAGCGTCGGTGCTCTATTGAATGCTAACTTGTTATTACTCCACATTGGAGAAGCAATCTATGACAAGTTTTGTGGGTTACATTAATCAAAAGTCAAAACCCCTAATATGGTAAGGTAGTAGGCAGTACCACTAAGACCTCATTCTAGTATGATTTCCATGAAGGTGCCATTCGAGTAGCAACCAAATCAGGACCCTTGTAAATTTCTCATCTCAGATAAAACGTCACCTCTTTCTGTTGCCAAACGCATACCATTTTAGATCCATTTTGTCAGCTTACAATCTCCAAAGCTATATATATAATCTAAGTCTTAAGTGGAGGTTTGATCAAATGAGGACAAATTAATAGGCCAAACCTTAGACTTTCCAGAATGTATGAAAAATGAATGTGTAGCATAGTTCAATGTGATAAACAGACTGAAACATCAATACAACAATTAAGTTGACTACGATGCAAGAAAGGGCCATAGTTTGACCAACAAAAAAAAAAAAAAAAAAAAAAAAAAAAAAAAAAAAAAAAAAAAGATCTGGTAATTAAAATGATGTAATGCATTAAGAGGGGTATGCCTTTTAGCCTCTGCCTAGATCTTTCCCTTTTTTTCCACAGAATACATTATACATCACTTAATTGAGAACCTAATATCTAGCTTCTTTCTGAGGCTTGAAAAACATCTTAATGTCTTTATTCGCCATCTTTTTGACAGATTAAATGGTTACTCTCTCACAGTATCACTCCTCAAATGCATTGTATAATAATAAGTATGATCTCGGTTAGCTCTGCTTTAACTGACCGCTAACAACCGAATCCCTCTACCGTTCCATTTTTCCATATACCATTTGTAGTTGGTAGTGCCCAATTTTTTAAGTTCTTCTGTTGCCCAATACTAATTAACCTATCATTTTCACATGAGAATTTAACTTAAATTTTCTTAGCAATACATAAATATCAGGATATATTTGAGGTGTACAAATCAATTGTCCATAGCTCATTGCTTCTCTAGAGTTCTTGTTCCATAAAGTTATCCAATTTCTCTGTGGTCTCTCATCCTCAACTCTAGTTGGGATATTGATTGCTACATCTTTGATAGTTACCTTACTTGTTTTGTCAAGTGCCTCTAAGACAGCACTCGTTATAATTGGACAACAACTCCCAGCAGAAAATCCAATTCTTATAAATGCATACTTGAATTTATCAATTACTCTGTTTGCTTAGGCGGTTAAGAGGACATCCACCAGATAATACTAAAATCTATGTCTGGTTGTGTATTTTTCTTTGGACTTCAAGCAATAGCAGGCCAATGGTCATATACTTCGAGACCACTGACCACCAAATATAAGAAAGGGCACAACCCTACAATGCATATTATCAGATTGGCCTAAGTTCTTCTTATTGACAATAATAAAATGAAAGCAAAAACATTCCTTAAACTAATAATCCAACTTGACAAAGAAGAAACCAATAGCTTCATCCCACCATGATCAAGTGCCTGGAGTTCCTAGATGTCAAATTTTCCAGTTTACCAATTAAACGTTTTCAATGTTCAATCCAACTAAAGTTTAATTCCAAAATTAACTTCCTTATCACTGTTTAACCAAAAAAAAAAATCATAAAGGGAAAAAAATTCACTCTATATGCTTCTGTTCATGATCCAACCGTTGACACCTTATAAAGTTAATCATAATTTTATCCAAGCAAAAAGATAAATAAAAATAAATCAAGACGGAAAAAAAAAAAAAAAAAACCACAAGACGAAAAAAAAAAAAAAAAAAAGCAAGAAGAAAGAATACGAAACTCTACATCAAATGGGAAAAAAAAAAAAAAAAAAGAAGAAGAAGAATACGAAACTTACATCAATGGAACCTTTCTTGGCAACATTACTCCAATCTTTAGCAGCCACGCCAGTTTTCCAATCAAAATCTACAGTCAACGTAACTTCGGGCTTATGATCCGCCGCAAAGAAACATGCCATGTAATCTCCAGCCTCCGCCGCCGTAAATGCAAACTGCCCCGATTCCACATGGTCTGCGTAGTGATAACTATTTCCAGAACTCGATGTAACCTACACACCCAAATAAGAAGAAAAATCAATACTTTCTAAAATTTAAAAAATGGGTTGCTTCAATTTCTTCAGCTTCTATTGGTTACCCACCCTAACAGTAAGCTTGTGCGACTCAGGCAAAGGATGGCCATCATTAGGGTTAACGATGTTATACTTGCCAACAGTCATCGAATTGCTTTTGATATCCTCCGCTATGCATTTGGTCTGCGCCGATTGAAGCTCAAACCGAATAGATTCTGAACAAGCCGATAACCCCAAAACCGTTACTACTACAACAACAACACAAGCTTGTAATATACCCATTATCAATCTTTGTGAAAACAAAGAGACAGAAACGGAGTTTAGGGGTTTTGATTTTATTACAGAGAAACTGAATCGCGGAGTTCGCAAGGTAAGATGAGGTGGATGGTGACCAGGTGGTGGAATTTGATTGGATTAGACACGTGAATTTTTGAGGACTTAGGTACAGTATCTAGCTCTCATCTACCATTGTCAATTGTAATTGTACTTCTAGAGGTGAAAGTAAAATGTTGTTCGAATTTGACTTTTTAAGTTATTACCCGCTTCCTTCGAATGTTAAAGGTCCAACCTTGTGTCGATTATTTTCTTGGGCTTGTCATGTGCCCAAGCCCAATATTAAATGGCACTTGGTAATAATGAGTCAGTGGCAAAAATTTTTTAAAAAATTGAAATCTCATAATTTTGATTCTTATCTTAATTTTTACAATATTCCAAATATTAAAGATAATATTGGATACATTTAGTATAATTTTTTATAATTACATGTTTTTTTTTTCTGAATATTGAGAGAGAGGATTTGAACCTGGATTTATTACCGAATCATATATGCACTTACCATTAAACTATGTCTTTGTGTGCATTACATGTACCTAATATACATATTAATTTTTCATCAAGTAAATTACTCTCGAGTTATAAAAGGCAATTATAATATATTTTTAAAACATTGCAATTCTTTAGTTTTTTTTCTCAATTTCTAATAAAAAATACCTTCATTTTAATAAAAATTTATATTTTTAATAATTTAGTTTACAAATAAAACCATAAATTCAATTTAAACAAGACAATCGCTTTTATTATATACTCAGTATAGGCAAGTTAATCCCTTTGATATAATTGAACAAACAAAATTAGCATTGAGAATCGTGATGAGTTGATGGTATGATTGAAGTATAGGTCAATTGGGTTAATGTAAAGATCTATCACATGCATGTATTAAATGATGATTACTATACTTTTGATTGCAAACCATACTAAAATTAGTTGTTATTCTATATTATGTCATTTTTTAGGTACGAATGTATTATTTTAGCTTCGGGTCCTTTTTCAGGCATGGCACTAACTTGGACCGCCGTACCTTTTTTTCCAAAATTTTTTATTTTTTAATATATTGAAAAAAAAAATACATAGAGACAGTGAGAGAGGAGATATTCAAAAGTTAATTTATATGTAAAATGATTAAATTATCTTCTCAATTGATGTATTCTAAAGTATTATTCTTATGAAATTTCTCAATAGCACTAAACTTATTAAAAAGAAAGAAATCTATTAACTAGATTAAATTTTTAGAATTCAAATTAAAATACTAATTATTGACTGAATGACTATCTCTAATTATTTTTATAAATTCAATCTTTATCAGCAACCACCATTTCACAAGTTTCATGTGCCCATTCTAGCTAGGATTGGAAAAGGACTCGAATTTAATTTTTTTTTTTTTTTTCTAGTTGGGAAATGCATTATTGCTAAAATAAGCATGTATTTTGAAATAGAGAAATTTGTAATGGACATATAAAATCTTAAATTATAGTAGTATTATTTTAGAATCAAGTGATATTAAATAAGTGAATTTTAAAATGTCATTAATCAAATAAAGAGGGTGTTATGTCTTTATCTCATGTGTATTAAGTGTTCTCTTCCAAAAAAGAACAATAAAACAAATTTAATAATTAAAAAATAAATAAAATTTATCCAATTAATGGGTGAATATTGTTTTTTTTTTTTCCGATGGTATTTTTGAATTAACTTACATTTATTGACACTAAATTCTCTTACTAAACAATAATTAAAAAATGTAATATCCAATTAGGAATATTATTTCTAATATTTAAAAAAAAATTACAAAATCAATTTAAAATCTTATTCTTACCAAAATTAATATAGATGAAAGAAGGTGGTATTTTTCACAATGGATAAACACTGTGAAAAATGAAATAAATGAAGGTGGTCCAATAGGAGCCTTTTATTTGTGAGAAACATGAAGGCTTTGAAGCCATTCAATGGTTGTTGGAGACATTTGAGATTCATACCTTGGAATTCTTAAAGTTAAATGTGACATTCAAAAACAATAAATCAAACCAAAGTTTATTTGTTTTTTCCTTTTACCAAATGCTATTTTAACTTATGTTTCGCAATACCTTTTTAATTTCATGTAGTATTTTTAAAATTTAACTTATGTTTCGCAATATCACTGTAATCATCTAATATATACATGGTTGGGTATTTCATTCTTATGCTAGCTCTCGTATATGGTATGAGCTTTCATATAATATAGAAGCTCTACCTATACCTCATTTCAATCATGCTTAATAAATCTTTTCTTCATTTCAAAAAAAAAAAAAAAAAAAAAAAAAAAAATATTTCAATCATGCTTCATAAATCTTGTTCTTCATTTTCAAAAAAAAAAAAAAAAAAAAAATAAAAAAAAAAAAAGAAAAATTTCCAATCATTCTTCTAAAAAAAAAAAAAAAAAAAAAAAAAAAAAAAAAGAAAATTTCAATCATTCTTCTAAAAAGAATAATTGCAATGATGTAAATCATTATTTCTCTTTCTGTTGAGACGACTAAAATTAATGTTTGAAAAAATATTTAGCAATATTGTTTAATTAATTTAAATTTGTTATAAATGTAAAATTCATGAAATTTATTTTAATCACTTGAAATTTAGTTTAATCCTTATTTCTCTTTTTATTGAAATTTATTATTATAAACAAATTGAAAATCTATATTATTATTATTATAATTTTACTAAATGTTATAAGTCATGTCAGATACAATTTTTGCATATTTATAATTACACTATGTAATATTTAAATTGTTAAAAAAATATTTAAGAAAATTAAAATTTTTTTCCTCGTATTGTACCCGGCAAAAGTTGTGCCGAAAATATTTTTTTTTACTATTATTATTATTATTATTATTATTTTATATAATATATAATCCTATCAAAAGTAGAAGTGTTGGGAAATAGTAATTCAAGTATGGATAAAATTATAGAAAAAAATCATAGGAACAATCGTAGCCGTTGGATTTTGTAGAAAATAGAAATTGCCGTCCAACTGTCCAAGTAAATCAGCCAAAATAACAACTCCCTTTCATATTTTCTAATATATCCCCAATAACTATAAAATTTATTCACTTTTAAAAAATCGCATCGACAGTTTGATTACTGATTAGATTAGCGAAAGAAAGTGATCGGAGAAAAGGAAAATTTTTTGCCGGAAAGGAACGAACAAAGAAAACCAAAAACAAACACATTAGCCTCTGTGTCTGTTTGGTGAGATTAATACTCCTTTTTTCTCCTCTTTTTCCTCCTTGAATTGGTGCTCTCTCTCTCTGTAAGTGAATTAAAAGGATAAAACACTTTTATTAGGATTCGAAGAAGATTGTTAAACTGTAAATTTCTACAATGCTGATGTTTTCTTTGAGTTTTTGATCCCTATACCGATGCGGAGATTTTTTTGGATGAATCGGTTATGATGAGGAGTGGAGGAGACAAATGGAGGTTAGATCTGATAGTGTACAAGTGAGGTGCGAGAAGGTAGGGTCGGGGACTCCTCCAGTGATCGCTAGAACTCGGTTGCAGGTCTGGTTTATTAGAGTTTGCTCTAGTATTTTGTTATGGACTGGCTTGGTTCAGCTTGTTGCCGTCGGGGAATTATGGCAACCGCGTTTTATTACCGATATAACCCATAAAATCACACAGATCACGCCGTTTCCTCTTCGCGTTCAAGTTTATGGACCACCGCTTCCTCCGCCACTTCCTCCAGCGAGTGAGTTTTTTTCTTAATTACTTTTGGATTGTTTGACATAAATATAAAAGCCACTTCAAATGCTTGTTTATGACGTAGCTTGGTATATTTAAATTTTGGAATTGTTATTGAGAGATTCCCAATCTTGGTTCATAAAAAATGGGCGTAGTTGGATTAACTTATGGAATTTTTTGTCAGCTCCTCCATGTGGTTTAGCTAAACTATTGCTTTTTTTAATTATTATTACTTGAGAGTGCTGAGTTCTACTCTTTGAACAGTGATTATGTGCACTATATGAACACAACAAATACATGTTTTGCATCTTAAAACTGACTCTGAATTATAAGTGACATGAATTTATCTTTTACCATTCTTGAGCATTCTGCACAATGTTGATTCAATATATAGATTTTTGCTTTTCAATAATTAAAAATCTATGGATTTTTGAGTTGACATAAACATCTTTTAAGAATTGAAAATATTCATTGTTAATGAGCAATCCTTGATTTGCTGGAACGAGTTTGAAACTATTTCATCTTAAATACTGGTAAGAAAAATTTCCCGTGCATTGAACCTTATGAAAGGCCTTTGTTCCTTTGATGGGCATATTATTTTCTATTTCCAACGATATTATTAGATTCTGTCTTTCTGCTTATGTAGATAAGATATTAAAGGTGGCAATTCTGCAGGAAACTATACAAGTAATGGGTATCTTTTGGTGTCCTGCAATGGTGGATTAAATCAAATGCGTGCTGCGGTTTGTACTTCTTCCCTTTGTTGTTTCATTAATCATTTCTCACCTTATTAACTCAGCTAGTTGGCAAATCAGATATGTGACATGGTGGCTGTTGCCCGGTTTTTGAATCTCACCTTGGTTGTTCCTGAACTTGACAAGACATCTTTTTGGGCTGACCCTAGGTATATTTGGTGTTCTTACCAAGCTATACTTTTTACCTTTAGTGGTTTCTGTAGTTTTTTTAACTCTTGGAGTTCTTTCTGCAGTAACTTTGAAGACATCTTTGATGTGAAACATTTCATCAACTCACTAAGAGATGAAATTCGAATTGTCAGAAGGCTGCCAAAAAGATTTAACAGGAAATATGGATACAAAGTATTTGAGATGCCACCAGTTAGTTGGTCAAATGAAAAATACTACTTAGAACAGGTGCGAATACTTACTGCTAAATACTAATTCAAGTTACCACCAAGTATCTAGACCATACATAGGTTTAGCAATTTCTGTAAAAATTGTGTTGATTGTAATATGGAGTTTAATTAGTGGATATGGCTAACAGTTCTACCTTTGAATGTAATGATATAACTTCTGTTTTTGTGGAAGGGAAAACTATCTTCAGAAACAAGGTTTTGATTTTGCTGACAAGAACTTCTACAAGATTTAACAGGATGACAAAAGGAACCTTTTGTTTCCAGAGTGGAATTAGAATCTTTAGACTTTGGTAGTCGATTAGGACAGCATTGTAGTTTTAATAAACTAGACAAAATGTTAGGGCAGCTTTTTTTTTTTCTTTTTTTTTTTTTTTTTTAAAATAATTAGGGTGCAGCTTTTTTTTTTCTTTTTTTTTTTTTTTTTTAAATTGCCAAAAATTTTGAGGCCACCGCAGGCCAACCATAGCTGCTTTGTAATACCACCAATCATGTGTTGTCTTTTCCCAGTTTTTGGGAAAAAGAAGACAAAATGAATCTTTCTTTTTTTTTTTTCTTTTTTTTTTTTTTTTTTAAATTGCCAAAAATTTTGAGGCCACCCAGGCCACCCATAGCTCTTTGTAGTACCACCAACAGTTGTCTTTCCCAGTTTTGGGAAAAAAGAAGACAAAATGGAATCTCTTTCCTTTTTGCACAATCTAATACTTCAATTGTTGTTCCAATAGGTTGCCGTTGCAATAAATTTTGCTGTCTTGGAAACAAATAGTTAATTTCTGGTATTGATAAATTTAATAACGGTTGGTGCCCCTCCTCATTAATAATCCTCTCTTGTGAACAATGGATATGGAAATCAATGGTGCTTACTTGAAATCATTGACGAGCTTCCCTTTGAGTGGCTGTGGCTCTATTCTTTTTTTTTTTTTTTTCCTTTCCTTTTTCACTTTTTTGACAATTGGCTCCTTGTTTCCTTTGAGATTCAAAATATGGAATTGAATGTTTTCTGCCTTTACCCTGTGGACATTCTTCTTCTTCTTCTTCTTTTTTTCTTTTTGAAGAACAATGGATAAGAGTTCTTTTAACACGGCTCTGACCATATTTTCCTTTTGCTATGAATCCCAGTCATAGTTAGATGTACAGAAATCTTCTAGTAAATGAATAACTTATCTGGGTACATAAAGCATGAAAACTTTTAATGCTTCTTTCACATCACTACTTAAAATCATATGGGCATTATAGTGTCAAGGGGACTAATCAAAAAAAGTTAGAACATTGCAGGGCCAAAGGGCACAACCAGTCATCTTTGCTATTAGCAAAAAAGTTGCTATGGTCCATCTTCACTAGTGTTTGTCAGCAATTTTGTGAACTTTGAATTTTCTGAAGGAATGGAACCATTGATTTAACCAATTGGGAAATTTAGCTGTTAAATAAGTCATAACAGAGGAAAAACATGGTGCAGAAATCAGAGGAGGATAGTTACTATAATAATTAGAAATCAATGAGTGGTTCTCATTTCTATGAAAGTAATGAAGTTGGTTTGCTGAACTGAAATCTGTTCAACAAAATGTTTTCAGGATTTGAAGTGGACCAAAAAGGGGGAAAACCTTTTGGGTGAATGCGAGCTTAATTTCACCTCTTTCTTGCTTCAGTAAAAGTTATGATTAAATGTCTGTGATCCTGTGATGCAGATTTTGCCACTTTTCAGCAAGTCAAAGGTGTTGCACTTTAACAAAACTGACACACGCTTGGCAAACAATGGGATCCCGCTTGATCTTCAGAAACTCAGGTGTCGTGTAAATTTTCAGGCACTGAAATTCACTCCACAGATCGAAAGTTTGGGTTACAAATTGGTCCGCATTCTTCAAGAAAAAGGGTCTTTTGTGGCTTTGCATCTGAGGTACGAGATGGACATGTTGGCATTCTCAGGATGCACTGAAGGCTGCACAAATGAAGAAGCTGAGGAGCTCAAGCATTTAAGGTTTGTTATGTTGAAAAGTTGACATATTTGGTTAGGATATCTAGTTTAAGATCTGGCATATAATCTTTGTCTGTCTTATTGTGTGCATGCAGCAGTGAGCCTGTAGAAGTTCCCTTGATTCAATAGCTTCTAGGAAAAATTTGATAAAGAAAATTAATTGAGATTGATTGGTAAGAATGACCATATTTGAACAACTAAGTAGAGAAAAATTATCTGTTGTTTCAGTCTGCTCTATACTTAAGGTCAAAACCAGTCCAGTCTGCCATATTTAAAAAAGGATGTATTATATACATTTTCCTTTATTTCTCATTCAGATATGCATACCCTTGGTGGAGGGAGAAAGAGATAATTTCTAAAGAGAGGAGGTCACAAGGTTTGTGTCCTTTGACACCTGAGGAGACGGCACTAGTTTTGCAAGCACTGGGTTTTAACAAGGAAACGCAGATATATATTGCAGCTGGTGAGATATACGGCAGTGAACGGAGACTTACAGCTCTAAGGGCAGCATTTCCATGGATTGTGAGTTATTGACCATTCCACTTCTTGCCTCTGGTTTTCGCACTGTTTTATCTGCAATTTTTCAATCAGCAACTACAGTTAAATGTTTGTGGAACAGTTGGGCATGTCTAGAATTTCAGGAGATTCTGAAGCTTTTCTGATTGATTTGTGGGTGGGGGGAAAGCAGGGGAAAATGGGGAGCGAGGGGGAGGGGGGTCACGTGTCATGGATCATGGATGCTCTTTGATGGCTTTGCTTTTTGAATGACAAATAGTTGTATACATTTGGAATTATTATTCACCATAAATGTGACTGTTAATATATGTGGCCTCATTAGTTAGTTTGGTATCATCTATATTAGTTTGTTCTTATCTTGCTTTTTCAGATCTCAGTCTCGATGATTGTTTCAGGTAAGGAAGGAAATGCTGTTAGATCCAGTGGAGCTGCAGCTATTCCAGAATCATTCTTCTCAGATGGCTGCACTGGATTTCATGGTCTCAATAGCTAGTACTACTTTCATTCCCACTTACGATGGAAACATGGCCAAAGTTGTGGAAGGTCACCGCCGGTATGTTCATCCCATATTATTGTGGTTGACTTGTCATATTTTTACAGTTGATTTATCATGTCTTATTTCACGAGTTAAATTATACCATCCTATTTGAAAGCTGCGGAAGCACTTCTGACTAGATTTTGTGTAGATATCTTGGGTTTAAAAAGACAATCCTGCTAGATCGAAAAAGAATTGTCGAGTTAGTAGATTTGCATCAGAATGGGACACTTTCATGGAATGAGTTTGCAGCTGCTGTTCAAGCAACACATGAAAAAAGGAGGGGACAACCAACGCACCGTAGGGTCATAGCAGATAAACCGAAGGAAGAAGATTATTTTTATGCAAACCCTCAAGAGTGCCTTTGCGAGGGAACAAATTGCGATGATTTGCTAGGTCCTGGTAATTCGACTTCGTTACGGTGACTGCACAATTTCAAGAACAAATTAAGACAGTGCGCCACTTATTATTCAAAAGCTGTGGTGCACTGACCATGTGATTTCCAATGACAAAAACAGAAGTATACACACACCTTTAGAGCGTTATAAGGAATACAACAGCAGAAAAGAATACTGGAATGTCCATTTAGGCAGTCAAAAGTCATGTTCAATTTTTTTTGTTCATATATTTATTTGATTTATTCTACTAGTAACAGTTTGTTCACATTTAGAAAATACACATGTAGCAATCATATTTTTTAATTCATAGGTTATCTGATGAAATATTTTATATATTGCAGAACTAAGTGTGCACTGCCTCAAGTTCACATTTTGGTGAATCAGGATTGGAAGTAGGAAATTTTGATTATGTTCGGTAAATCATAATGGAATATGATGTAATATAATCAAATACATTTTCAGTATAACTGATACCCCGACATTTTTTATTATATTATGCTGAATTACAGAACTAAATGGCTACTGTCGTCTACCGATGCTACAATAACTGTTTGTAAGAACATATAGCCCAGTGCTTCAGCCTAAAAACTTGAATCTGAAGGTAGCAAAATACTATGATACAAAAATCTCTTACATGATTGGAGGTGTTATCGGAGATGTATTTAGTCTCTTCCAACGAATCCAGAATTGGCTGTTCCTTGAAGCAAATTATCTTTAATAGCTTGTTTGATATTTGATGCAGCTCCCTATTTGGACTCCCAGAAGATAATATCACCTTGTTCCCCAACTAAACCAAGTTCTTTAAGCCTTCTTTCTTGGTAATATTCTAGCACATCCAATTCAGACTCCCTCTGCTTGAAGATCTCATCAATTTGATGCAGCACCTTCTTTTCCCCTGCTCTTATTCCCACTGCAATCTTAAGCCTTGGGTTAAGTTCTGCTTCCTCTTCTAACTTCTCATCCTGCGATTCATATTTGTGTTTAGTGCATAAACATAAAACTGTTAACTTAAACAGGTGTTGGCGACCATTAGTTTTAAGCGAGACATTTCAAGCTGCACTACCTTTTGATTGTGCAGATAAGAGATTATGGTAAACACAAGCTTAATTTGATAACCTTATTTAGGTAGTATGAGACCAACACAAAAACATGAACTGTCTAAACTGAAATCAGACACATCACAAGTAATGTGGATTAACAAATGATCTGAGGATATATTATTGATAGTAATGTGGATGATCAGTTTACCTCTTCAATCGTAGTATGATATCCAGAAAGAGCAGATTTACAAGCATCTCGGACCACTCGGCATATGAGCTCCTCATTGGCACGACTTACTGGCAATTCAAGGTGGCCCCAGATGGTGTTTCTGAAAAGAGATTCCAAGAGGAAAGCATCGGTACCCCCTAGTGCTACCAGTCGCAGATATGGAAGCATTGCTGGTGGAAGAGGATTGCCCATAACAATGTCAAAATCTGCAGTCTGACCCAGACCATTTGTTTCAGCAACGTCCAGCTTGTCATCAAAAAATGGGTCTGACTCGGATATTTGAAGTGTCAAAGTGTAAGTATTGCGGACAGAGTTTGTTTCTATGAAGCCATGGTCCAGAGCTAACTCGGCATTGGTCTTGTTTAAATCATATTGGATCAGGACCTGTTTTGAACCGCTGTCCAACTCAGTCATAATGATTTGTGCCATATTAACAGGATAATAGGCTATCAAGTAAGGAAAAGGCAAACTTGTTTTAGCACATGGCATCCAATCATCTATCAGAAGATTTGGGACCTCCTCAACATAGACAAAAAATGATAAATCAATATTTTGGAAGCAGCATTGTATTACTTAAGAATAAAAGACTTCACCTGCTCACCAGCCTTGACTGAAATGGGTGACCGCAAAGAAAATCGAAGATCTCCGGAGAAAAGGCCTCCTCCTTTAATTTCATATGCATAATCTTCTGTTGTTATATCAGGGCTGTGGTTGATCTGATCCAAAAACAAAGTGTTGCTGAAAATTATATTTTGGAGGGATAGACAGTCATGAAAAATTCACAATAACAATACTGAAATCGGATTTGCTATCTTAAATGGTGAATCTGGTCTATGCATATGGGCTAACCATTTATGTCATTTTACTGCTATGCTATATTGTTTGGAAAATTTTTTTTCGGACAATTATCTTCTCTGCAAGCTAATATGCTACATATTTGCACTTCCTTATTTTTCATGTTTTACTTTAACATAAATCACATACTTGTAATATGCCATGTATTAGCAGTGAGATGTCAAATAAATGATTTATTTCAATCTATCAATCTCTAAAATAAGTTTCAAGCTCAAGAAATTGCTGAGGAACAGCCACAATGATCTTCTATAAATAGAGTGCAGAAAGAAAATTTTAGGCTGTCCAGAAGATCACTTCCTTATATATTATCAAGCAAAACGAAACAATGTCTCTTGAATATGCTTTAGAAAGGTGTACGTCAACTTGCTGCTAACAATTGACCTAAAGAAAGAAATGAAAGTCCTTACCAAGTCAGCAAGGGGAATCAAAACAAGATTTTGCCCACGAAGACGAGCAAATGCCCTTGATCTAAGAATCCCAAATGCCCAAAAGAAGTCATCCAATGTTATAGGGGAAGGAAAGAGCTCCTTGTGAGGGATGAGGATATCTTCTTCCACTTTTAGAAACTCCCGCTGCAAATATTCTTTTACACCAGATGTTGTACGAAACAGTTGGGATCCTACATGAATTCAAGGAAATTAAACATTATATTTATGACAAGAAAAAGGGCAATCCAAATTACATTTGCAGCATAGGAAAATCATTGAAGATCTTTGTCAAGCATACAAAATGCCATAGTAACTCTGACAATGACATTATAAATTCCACAAGAGGATACTCTAAATGCAACAAATTCGCAAAATATGAGTCTGATTTTGAATAGAGCGTTGCATAATAATGTTTTATCATAAATATATATTCTTGATTCTATATAAGAACTCAAGAGATTATCTAAACAAAAGTAAGCAAATTGTCACATGTTCTTCATATCGTAAACAACGACGCTATTTTCTTTAAACATTTATACATATATCAATATGAAGCTAATCAAAGAAAAATAAAAACTGTTGGCGCCAGCCCATTAACACATAACTTTTCCAATCTTGATCTCCAAACACTAAATTCTTATCACATAAAGATTCATATATATAATGCCAGCTTAAACACAAAAGGAAAGCTCAAAAGAACATCTATATGTCACAGAGAGACCGGACTAACCTTGAAGCTCAGCAAGCTCCTCTTCTAACCTGCACTGGAATCACCAAACCAACATTTTATAACCCCAAAAATCACAACACACACACACACACACACATATAGTGGAATTACCAAAAACAAGCAAAACCCACCAATATATAGTGGAATTAGTACTCTCAGGAAGAATATCCAAATAAGGTCGCCATGTGGAATCTTCCTTCAATTTCTCTCTGATCAAGAAAAGAGCAACAGATATCCAAGGTTTCAATCCACTGCACACACTTCCAATATCAGAAGCTGCAACAGCATCTGGGTTTATCCAGAGTTTCTTGGGGATCTCCAAAACGACCTCGTTTTTAGAAATGTCTCTCTCTGCTATTAGTCCCAGGCCTTCAGGAACGATCCCAGGCTTAGCCGGAGACTTAGCCGATACAGCGCCTTGGTCGCTAAGCCATTGCCAGAAGGTTTGCAGTGCTATTGATGGTGGTGATACTATTGATTGTTGAACAGAATAGGTTATCAAAAAGGGTCTTTTCAAGTGGAGAAGAGGTGGGCTTTTCGTAAAAAGAGAAATGGGTTTTAAAGGAGAAAGGAAAACAGAGGACGATAGAGTTAAATGTGTAGCCATGTCTGCAAGTGCTGTTGATAGTGGAGTTAGTTAATGAGATAACAGAAACAGAAAGTTTGTTCGATGATTTATAGCATTGAGGTTGGGGATAAAAGGATGGATATTTTGCTGGAATTAATTACAAAATAATCCTCAATATTTTTCTTAATATATATTTTTAATCTCTATGTTTTTTAAATTAACAATTTTATCCATATCTTTATCATCATATTCATTACCATCAAGAGAAAATTTTGGCTGGAATTTTAGAAATTAGAAAGTATTTTAAATTTTAATAATTTTGAAAATAAAGTATAATGTAATTTTAAAGAAAATGTCAAAAATTGTATAATGAACATTTTATATTTTATGATTAAAAATTAAAGCTTTGGGTCGTTATTTACTAACAAACCTCAAGTAAGAAATTGCTGATTTTGAAATAGTAACATCAACTATATTAAAAGAGACATTTACTAATTAGTCCTATACACTCGATCTTCTAATTATATATTTTCCAATTATTTTTGAAAATTATACCATAAAGAAGCATATCAAGTCATAGCTTAATAATAAGTGTATATACAGTTTGACAATAAATTCATATCAAATTCCTTACCCAATGCTCAAAAAAAAAAAAATACTATAAAGAGAGCAAAGATATATTTATTTATATTTACACTATAAATATAGTAATAGATATCAAGATATAAATTTTAGTAAAAATAATAATTACTAAGGATTTCATAGGTGATTTAAATTTATATTTGAGTTCAAATACTTCTCATTCTATATAAAAATGAAAAAACCAACTAGGCTAACTTAATTGACAAAGAAATAGAGAAAAAAATTAAGTTGACATAATTTTAAAATTATGCAAAACAATTTTTTTTGAAATGTGCAAAATAATTTTTTATTTGGTTTAATGAATCTTTGCTTAAGTATAAAATATAAGTGCAAATAATAAAAATTACTCCTTTGTTTGAAAATGTAAGTCGTTTTTGAGTAGTTATAAATAGGGGTGGCCATATTACGGTTCCGGGAACCGGAACCGTCGGTTCGAACCGGTCCGAAATCGGAACCGGTGAGAACCGGAATCGGCCCGAATCGAAATAGGAACCAGAGATTTTCGGTTCGATTTCAATTCTAGATTTCTGGAATCGGAACCGGTGGTTCCAGAGAACCGGTCGGAACCGGACTGGAACCGCCGAGAACCGGGGTCGGTAACCGGAACTGGAACCGCCCGGTTCCCCGTTCGGTTAGAACGCCGGTTCGAACCGGCGGTTCTAGCCATTTAAAATTGTTCCAAGGTTTTTTTTTTTTTTTTTTAAATTTTGTTGTGAAATCTTCTTAATAATTATGTTCAAATCTTTAAAAAAATAAAATTTAATTGAAGTATTTTTAAATTTTTTTAGGTGTATCTTTTAATTTTTATGTTCAAATATATATATTTTTTTTAAACCGGTCTTCAAAAATTTAAAATTTAAAAAATTATGCGATTCGCCCGGATAAATCGATCGGAACCGTCGGTTTGGGTCACCGTACCGGAACCGGAACTTTCAGTTCGGTTCCGATTCTAGTTTTTTTTGGAACCAGAACCACCGGTTCCGGAGACTGTGGCCACTTCAAAATTTAAAATTTAAAATTATGCGATTCGCCGGAAAATCGATCGGAACCGTCGGTTTGGTCACCGTACCGGAACCGGAACTTTTCAGTTCGGTTCCGATTCTAGTTTTTTTGGAACCAGAACCACCGGTTCCGGAACTGTGGCCACCCCTAGTTATAAATATATGTTGTTTTGAGAAAGTGATTCCAAACAGTCTTAACTAATGGGGAAGAAAGTTATTTTTATGTGATAAAAAATATGCAATAAAGATTAAACAAGGAAAAAATAATAATAAAATAGAGTGCACAAACTATAAGTTGGGCCTATCTTTTTAGCCCAACATTTCTAGGCCTATATGTGAAGACTAAGACTCAACTTATGATTGCTTCTTTTCAATGTCTATGATTAATTTAATTCTTCATTTAAGTATGATTATTGGGATTTCATTTGAATCTTTAATCTCTAGCACTAAAAAAACTGACTTTTGTGTAATTAGCCTAATGGCGGACCTATTATGTCAATTAGGGCTTGAATCATTGAAGAATAAAATAATGAAAAAACAAATCTATGCAATTGAAATGGATCTGTTAAATAAAATTAGCTGTTTTGATAGCTATTAATTGTTTTAATAGTTTTTTATGAAATGCTAAAAGCTAAACATTACATGAGTTAATTTTTCACATAACGCTACTTTAACTTCTAAAAGTAGTTCAAATGATATGTTACGGAACAACTTTTTAAATAGCGTTTAGCGTTATGGTCAAAATGCTAAAAGCTACTTAAATAACCGTTGCCGAATACGATCTATATAAGCAATCGGCTATTTGGATAATATGGGTAAGAAGCATTTCAAAGTTAATTGAGATTTCTCTTGATTTATTTCATATCTTTTATTAAATAAAAAAAGAAGATAAATTTAATTTATATATTATATTATTTTCAATTAATTCAACAGTGAACTTACTTAGACCAACTAATACTAAAAAGTTAATATTAACAAATTAGTTAGATAGCTTGCCACCCTTATATACCCTTTGTGAATTTAATATTTAATCGATTTGGGATTTTTAACGGATACATATCACTTATTTATTTGTTTTGTAATCCAAAATAATTATTTCCTTTTTACTAAATAATATATACATGAAGGGTAAAAATGAAACTAAATTATAATCATCTATGATTATCATCCACAACTATATAAACAATTATTCTAAATATTTCACTTTGGATGTTTTTCTCCCATGTTCATATCTTGTATTTTTTTTTTTTTTTTGAACCTTTCTTATTCTCTCATTTTCACTTCTTTGAAGTTTCAACATACTTTTATAACATTTGGTTGAGAATACTTGATTGGGAAACTTCAAATTTTCAGAAAGTATGAAGACCTAACTTGTTTAATTGTCATAATTGTTAACTTCTCAGAAAGTTGATGAATTTGCTTTTTTTTTTTTTCCTTCATTCAGGAAATAAATTCCAAGCCTAACTCAATTAAATTGGGGCATGTCTCACTTTACGCGTTCAATGCTCAGCTTCACATTATCGTTATGTTTCACCAACTCAACCATATTAATTAAATTAAATTTTATTATTTCCTCCATCTCATTTTATTTGCTTCTTATTTTTTTTTAGAAGTCTCAAAATATTTGTAAAATTTCTAAATTTAAACATGTAAATAATTATTTTTCTCATAATAACCTTTTGAATTAAAGGTTTTTAGTATCTTAACGAGTTATTAAGAGTAAAGAAGGGTAAAATAATTTTTATTGACTAAATTTTTAATATGCGTATTTTATCAAACCATGTAAATAAAATTTTAATTAATTTAGTGTATATGTATTAAATTACAGTAAAACTAATAAGAAGTATACACTTTCTCTGACACAAAATTGTATTAAATGTAAATGCCTCACTTGAAAATTAAAATTATTAATAAGAATATTATTTAAAGATTTTCCTATCTCATAAGCACATTTCTTTGTCGTTTCTCTTTTCATATTTGTAGTTTTGTGCATGTTTTTTCCATTTAGATTCTTCCCTCACACACACAGGTTCAGATGTATTCAAATAAGTGTATGATAGACTCAGTCTCTCCACTTTTGGCAGCCTTTCATTTCTCCACCCACAGCTTTTCACAATAATTTTATTCAGCACTTGTATTGTTTTCACTGATATGTTTTTTTCTTTTTTTTTTTTTTTAGTAGTAAAATAGGGAGCTCAAATTTAAAAGCATATGACCAATTCTAGAGAATTTGTAATCATCAATTTACATATACAAGGGTAGGCGAAATCAAAAAATTTTCAATCTATCTTTATTATTATACATGAGCATTTCCATTAATTATTTTCAACTACTTGTTGGTTATTGTATGATAAGGGTGTAAATAAGTTGAGTCGAGTTTCACCGAATTTAATTTTCACTTATAATCCATATATTAAGCACGAACTTAGACAATGTTCAATTTATTTATAGAATAAACGAGTTTGATTTAAGATTAATTTATAATAAAAAATAAAAAATATCTATATAGTGACTCATTTGAAGACTTGAATTCAAGTTTATTTACAGGTTTATTAATTTACTATTATCGAGTTGGCTCGCGAGCCTTACTATTAAGTTGACTTGTAAACTAATTTATTTCAAAGCTCAAACTCGATTCAAATTTTTATGAAAGATTAAAGTGTATAAATCTATTCAAATAATATGAAGCAGAAAAATAGAGTCATGGACCCGATTTACACAAGTTTTTTTCCAAAATTTTGAATCTTGGTAGCAGTGGGAAAACACCGAATAGTATAAGACAATTTGGAAGCGTCAAGTTTTCAACCAACGGTTTGATTTTTAAGGTAAAACTTCATAAATTATCAAGAAAGATTAAATTTAGCGCGCGCACACACACATATATATATATATACACAAGCTTTATGTTTGTGGTCATAATTGACTGCTTCAAGCCTTCCACGCCATAGCCAACCTTTATGTTTGTGGTCATAATTGACTGCTTCAAGCCTTCCACGCCATAGCCAACCTTTATGTTTGTGGTCATAATTGACTGCTTCAAGCCTTCCACGCCATAGCCAACCTTTATGTTTGTGGTCATAATTGACTGCTTCAAGCCTTCCACGCCATAGCCAACCTTTATGTTTGTGGTCATAATTGACTGCTTCAAGCCTTCCACGCCATAGCCAACCTTTATGTTTGTGGTCATAATTGACTGCTTGCCATAGCCAACCTTTATGTTTGTGGTCATAATTGACTGCTTCAAGCCTTCCACGCCATAGCCAACCTTTATGTTTGTGGTCATAATTGACTGCTTCAAGCCTTCCACGCCATAGCCAACCTTTATGTTTGTGGTCATAATTGACTGCTTCAAGCCTTCCACGCCATAGCCAACCTAAAGTCATCTTGTCCCTGTCCACGTGTTTGCTGTTTCCTTCCATTCTGAATTTTATTTTTTCTTTTTGTAAAAAATGGAAAAACCATAATGGATTTGAGTGTATAAATATATAGCCAAGCTGAGAGAGCCTGGCATCAAATGTTACTTTCAATATTATTGCAATTTTCTTGCTTAAACTCTTTCTTTCTATAATAATACCCACGCATCATCAGTTTTTCTCTACTTTCTTTTTCTTACCTCAAAAATGAAGTTTGGAAAAGAATTCAAAGCACAAATGGTTCCAGAATGGCAAGAAGCATACATGGATTATGATTTTCTGAAAACCCTTTTAAAAGAGATTCAAAGATTCCAGTTAAGAAACAGGCCACCAGCAACCCCAGGCCGCGGTGGCCTGAAGCGAAAGCTAACGTTATATAGAGCTTTCAGTGGATTAACGCAGAGAAACAACATTAGCGCTGAAACAAACTCTAATGATGATAGTGACATTGAAAGTCAATCCATTTTGGTTAATTCTGTTAACCAAAATGGCTCTCAAAGCTATCAGACTACTTTTCTTATGTCTGCAGAAGAAGGAGGTGAATATGAGCTTGTTTATTTTAGAAGACTTGATGATGAGTTCAATAAAGTGAATAAGTTTTGTAAGGCTAAAGTTGAAGAAGTGATGAAAGAAGCTGACATGTTGAATAAGCAAATGGATGCTTTGATTGCTTTCAGAATCAAAGTGGAGAATCCTACTGGTTGGTTTGATAGGTCTGCTGATATGACACGTCTTGCTTCTGATGTTGCTGCTTCTGCTGCTGCTTTGGCTGCTTCTACTCCTTCAGGAGCTAGAGCAACCAGTAAGTTAGATCCCATCTTTTATTTATTAAAATCTGTTTAGTATTAAGGTTGAATCTGCTTATTATTTCTTGATTGTAACACGTAAATTTCACCTTAAAGCCATAAGATAAATATATATTAGAGTTTAGTTAACTGGATTGCTTATTGGTTTGCAGGAAGAGTGCCTACGTTGGATGTGATCGATGAAGGATCAAGCCTGCCCGAGGCTCCAGATAGTAGTAACAGTGAGGACGAGATTAATGGAGATGGTGACAATATTAGCCAAAACATACAAGCAGTAAAGAAATCAAAAAACATCAGAGGGTCGAGACCAGCTCCATTGGAGATACTAAACAAGGTGAAAATTAACAATACACTGGAAACACCTCGCTCCACCATTAAAAGTGTCCTGCAAGTTCCTCAGAAGACAGAATTGAAATTCACAAGGGAAAATCTTAGAAAAGTTGAGGATCAACTGAAGCGTGCTTTTGTCGAATTTTACCAAAAGCTTCGTCTTCTTAAGAGTTTCAGCTTCTTGAACACATTAGCATGTTCCAAAATCATGAAGAAGTATGATAAGGTATATATATTATTTCCGTTCTAGCTAATTTCGGATTCTTGTGTTCTATATATATAGTAAATGAATCCATCACGATTATTTAGCATATTAAACGTAAGTATTTACCAAAAATCACTGAAAGGTACAATTGATAGATACTTCTACAAGAGTTATTAATACACAAACTTCTTGTAAACATTCCCTCTGATTTTCTCTTTAGCATAAAGGTATTTTCTGGTATTTATTGTGTTCTATATTCATTATCCTTTTATTTATATTTATTTTAAAAGTGTAGCAAATAGCAAGTGAAGAATCACGTATGGATTATGATACAGACTGCTTACCCAAGTATAGGTATAACTGATATCTAAGTTCTGGAATCTGGCGATAATTTCGAAACAATCCCACCAGAATTACATCTCAAGAAATGGCGATCAAAAGCTTACATGAAAAATGGCTGCGAAGAACTACGACGTCTCTCACTTCTCCTTGAGCACTAACGATTGACAGACTTGAGGATCGAGAGAGGCGCGAGATAGATTTCTGTGAAGAGTTACGCATGGTCAGTACGCTGCTAGTCTTTGTGTCTTTTTTTTCTAAGCATATCTATCCTATGTATGACGTAAATCAATTAATGACTCGATGTATAATTATTGAGTGTAGAGAACTATGGAAATTGTTTATTTTCAGTTTCACGCGTCTCGAGAGTCTACCGAGAAGAGACTCTAATAGGAGAAAGTAACAGTGAGTGGTAGAATGAGGGTCTGCAGCACTCTACTCAGTCACAAATTAGGCATCACATAATGACTTGGGCAAACATCCGACTATCGGAGTGAGATAAAACGGATCATGAGTAAGCTAATATTACGACCCTTACACACATGAGTAATAAAGAGAGTGAGTAGCCACTAGCACTAAATGTAAACACACACATACTATAATCAGTTCAAAATCGGCGTCTGAAGAACATGCAAGTCCTAATTTAAACACAATGTGAAAATTCCTAATCTTGCGAAACGAGACATCAACTGTTTATAAAGTGTCCTATTAATTAATTACTACTTCATTGACCAGATTTGGTACAAAGTTTATTTCAGGTTTTCTTTTCCCGTGAACTGTGCTATATCTCACGCATGCTCTGCACGATTTGTCATTTAGAGACCTTATATAAGTTAATAATTATTAATAAATAAAGCAGAGAAGAAGAAAGAAGAGAGCCAGTACCTTGACATATGCGAGAAAAGATATATCACACAATTGGATACCACTCTCGCCAGGTATGAGAGAGAAGCATACATGAAAACCATGTTTCCAACTAATTGACCAGATAATAAGAATGAGCACGAACGGTGCCGCCTAATCGGATACTTATATTAAATTATCAAACATTGCCTGCATGGAATATTTATATATATTAATTGGAAATTTCGACATCCCACCAGATTACTTCAAGAAATGCATCAAAAGCTTACATGAAAATGGTAGATAACTCCTACCTCGGCAGTTCTGATGAAGTGAGTGTTCTTTCTTTTTCTTTTTTTCTAATATCTATCTATTATGCTAAATCATAATATGATTTCTTGTAAATTAATACATAGGTAACGAAACTCATGGAAAGAGTTGAGTCTACATTCATCAAGCATTTTTCAAAATCGAATCGGAGTAAAGGCATGAGCATCTTAAGACCAAAAGCAAAAAGAGATAGACACAGAACAACATTTTCAATGGGTAAAATTTTTCACAGAAATTCCTAATCTTGCAAAGAACTGTTTTATTCCTTAATTAATTACTCATTTGGAAAATTTTCAGGTTTCTTTTCTGGCTGCACAGTTGCTCTCATCATAGCCCTTGTTTTGATTATTCGTGCCCGAAAAATCATGGATAATCCAGGGAGAGAAGCATACATGAAAACCATGTTTCCACTATACAGGTAACTGATATATATTAATTATCAAAATATTGCTTTCTTGCAATGCCATTAATAGAGCATCAAGTTTGATAATTAAGTAATTGTTTATAATCTCTTGCAGCTTATTTGGATTCATTGTCTTGCACATGGTAATGTATGCTGTAAATATATACTTCTGGAGGCGATACAGAGTGAATTATTCTTTCATATTTGGATTCAAACAAGGAACAGAATTAGGTTACAGACAAGTTCTACTCGTGGGTTTTGGCATTGCAGTACTAGCACTCATCTGTGTCCTTTCAAATCTTGACATGGAAATGGACCCTAAAACAAAAGATTACAAAAAATTCACTGAACTACTCCCTCTTAACCTGGTTATAGTAAGTTTCTTCAACCAATTAACTTTATTCATCTTCTCCATTTGCAAATTTTCTGTGCCAAAACTAAATTTTCATTTTTCTTGTTTTTGCAGCTTCTACTTGTCTTATTGTTCTTGCCATTCAATGTCCTGTACCGCTCAAATCGCTTCTTTTTTCTCACATGTCTCTTTCACTGCATTGCTGCTCCTCTCTACAAGGTCACTCTCCCTGATTTCTTCTTGGCAGATCAACTAACCAGCCAGGTTAGTTAACTAATAAAGACACATATTATTTTTCAATTTGAATAAGAAACCAAAATTTTTTACTTTCTCGCAATTATAAAAAACGATAAATTAAAATCAATATGATTGCTTGTACAGGTACAAGCAATTAGAAGTCTGGAGTTCTACATCTGCTACTACGGTTGGGGAGACTATAAACAAAGAGAAAATACGTGCAAAACAAGTGGTGTATACAACACCTTTTACTTCATTGTTGCTGTTATTCCTTACTGGGCTCGTCTTCTTCAGTGCCTCCGTAGGCTATTCGAAGAGAAAGATCCAATGCAAGGATATAATGGAATAAAGTATTTCGTGACAATAGTAGCTGTTTGCTTGAGAACAGCTTACAGTCTTAATAAAGGGATTAGTTGGAAAGTAATAGCATGGGTTTTTTCAGCAATAGCAGCCATTGTTAGTACTTACTGGGATCTTGTTATTGACTGGGGACTTCTTCAAAGAAAATCCAAGAACCGTTGGCTTAGAGACAAGCTCCTTCTTCCTCACAAAACTGTGTACTTCACAGCCATGGTTAGTGTCAAGCATTGTATCAAGAAACAATAATCATTATATCAAGAAACAATAATCTTTATATTTCGATATAATTTGCAGGTGGTGAATGTTCTGCTGAGATTTGCATGGTTGCAAACTGTTCTGAATTTCTCATTCCCTAATTTGCATAGAGAAACTTCAATCGCCATTGTTGCTAGTCTTGAGATCATTCGTCGAGGCATATGGAATTTCTTCAGGTAAAATTGATTAATTACATGTGAAAGTTAATTAATTTGAAAATTTCTACGTAATGTCTAACTTAATTAATTAATTTCACGTGGTTGGAATAGGTTGGAGAATGAGCATTTGAATAATGTAGGGAAATATCGGGCATTCAAATCAGTACCACTACCTTTCAACTATGACGAGGATGAAGATAAAGATGAATAAGCTTTTTTAGCAAAGATTTTTGACTAAAATGGAGAAAATATATAACAAGAAAGACCAAGAAATTTTACAAAGCAAGTCATCTTTAGGAAGTTTAAGGGAAACAATTAATTACCTTTTGGCGATATAATTAATTGTATAAATTATTTACGTTCATTGAACCTGTTAATTAATTAATTTTTGTAAATGATTTTTTTTTTTTTTGAGCAAGTAGCTTGCGGATTTAGAAATCTAATTACATCATCCATGCATATTGTTTTTTTTAGCAATATCAACTTTGCTTTCTTTGATTAAAATAAATTATATATGTTTTGGTTGTGATTAGTCAATCAAGTAGTTTTAATTAACAATTGATTTGTGGTCCGATTAATTTAAATCAAGTTGCAAGGCCCTGTCAGTTCAGAATGGATAAATTAATTTAAGTACAGGATTGAATTAACTAATTATCTAATATTTTTTTAAATTGCAAATCATATGATTTTTTTATTTCTCTTCTACACATATTTCTTCCCTTGGATGGTCCGAGTGGCCGCCGTGACTCCAAATTTCTTTTTTTATTTTTCTCTAATTTTTTTTAATTTTTACCTTGAATAGAATTATGTTTTTTTATTTCCTCTAAATTTTGATGTTGTTGTGGGGAGAGGAGGGGATGGGATGGGAGTGGATCGTATCAGTACTATGTTGATAGAGTAATTTTTTTTTTTTTTTTTTGAAAATTAGCAGCATAAATAACCTTTTTGAATGAAGAACTAAATAAATAATAGGAAAAAAAAATGATTTTATCCTTATGTTTTAGGATAATTAACTAATTTGTCGTTGTATTTAAAAAATTACAGTATTTGATTCTTGTAGTTTGCCTTCTTAAAAATTAGAGCCGTCAATAATCCAAATTATATGGATAAAATAATGTAATTTTTAAAATACAAGGGTCAAGTAATTAATTATATTAAAATATATGGAAAAAAAATATAATTTTTTCCCTTTTAATTTCATATATAGGGTCATCCTGTAATTTCACTAGCATTTAATGACTTAAATATCAAATAATGAACGAGAAAATAATTTTAATTTATTTAATGAGTCTAAACTAAGGGATATAAATTAATGTAACTTTTAAAATACAAGAATAAACTAGTTAATTATGTTAAAACATAAGAACAAAAATGTAATTTTCCCTAAATAATAAACGGTGCAAATCCTCAAAGTACTGAGAAACTATTTTTCCAAGTAGGATGAAATAGTAATTTCAATCAAATTTCAAGGACTTAAGAACAATTTATCCATATTAAATTAGTACAAGATGTACTTGCTCTAAGAACAATAAAAATAATTCTAAATGGAAAAAGTATTCCATAATAAATAGTTAATTCAATGCAAATTTATATATAAAATAATTATAATGTCAAGTTAAGCCAATTAAATGCTCTTATGACTTAGAATTCGAAGACAAGCTAAGAGGTGTACTCATACATTAGCTACAGAGGCATGTCCTTGTGCAAGTTCTCAAACCTGCAATGTAATACCAAGTTTTATTGAAGAATTTGTATTAGCTGATTTGATCTTTGAAAAAAATAACTATTTTCTTCTTCAAAAGACAATATTTTATAGTGAAAATGCATGTCAAAATCTAAATTTTTAGTTAGTTTCTGCGTCAGGTTTATATATAACTGATGTTAAATACTCCATCCCACTGCTCAAAAAAATTATAATCTCCAATGTTCTATAATTTAGATGTAGGATACAAACCACATATAAAAAGAACTACTATTCAGTATCTATCCTATTCCATTCTACAAATGAAACAAGGTGTAAGGTTGGTCCATATACCACATTAACAAGCAAGTTGAGTAAAAAATCTGCATCCCAGTAAAAATGCTCAAGGCCAGGGGAGGTGGCTAATGAATGATTGAACTATGAAACTGCAATGAAACAAAAAGTTCAGGGTGAAACAGTATATTAAGCCTCAGTTTTCAGTTGTTTTTATCATTGACATAGCAAAGTCATAATCAGCAACATCAACAAGTTCCAACTTTATCTACAGACTTACAACGGTAGCAGTTCAGTTTCCTTCAATACTTGAACATATTAAACAGAGGACATATATGACAAACAAAAACCTGCCAACTTCATAATGCTGAGCATTTTCAACCTTTGGAACTCAAAAGGTTCAGTTTTTTCTTCTTTTTACCAAAATAAGAACTAAATTGTAGAGAGTAGCATGCACAGTTATTAAGTTCCATAAAAAGAACTGCACCTGCACTAAATTCATAAATGGTAAGTTATCCTAACAGAAACATCCATTTGACAAAAATTATATAAATGTGCGGCACCAATAATCTTTACACACTTCTAGCGTAAGGTCGAGTCTCTTAAAAAGCCTCTTAATTTGCACCCTCTAATTAATCTGACAAACGGATGAGGAAATGCAAGTCCCCTCGTGATTTTCTCTCATGCTTTGAGCAATGTGATTGAATCAATCATATTCAAGGGTTGAAGGATGTGTACTGTCTCTGATGCTAATATGAGCAAGTATGAAAAGAAAAGCTACCTTATCCTACTTCTATGGTATATATAATAAATAACTGTAAGATAGCAATGCTCATAAAAGCTTCCACTATTTGATCAACCAAACTATTTTCTATTTCATTAATTCATCCATTATATATTATCAAATCTCAACAAATTCTGAAATATACACATGCAAGCAACAAAAGAACAAAAACAACCTGAGGAATCCCTCTTTAAATCTAGAATACATACAGAAATCTTTGAAATTTAACTGACAAAAAAGATGTATCTCAATCCAACACTATTGTCCCTGACCAGAATTTTTTCTCAAGATTATAGCTCATGTAAAGCAGGGTCTTGTGACCAACAAAGTTACAATTGTAGTTCAGCAATTAGACATCAGCAGAAAGCATAGCTTGTTGATAGCAACCAGGATGTTTTAATCCTCACTAGTTTTTCCCTCCCTCTCTTGCGTCATGTGTGTGTCAGGATGTGAAAGCACACCCAAAATCAACAATTGTTATCTGTGTTTAGTTTAGAACTGACCAGCTCATTTATACCTGAAGGAGCACATGATAAAATGGATATTACACATGCAAAGCTAAAGCAGCAAACTTTCCCTCTCAGTCTCAGAAAAACAAAATCCCTTCAGTACCTAACAACAGGAAAACTAACTTATATAGACCAAATCTAACATATCTAAACTTTTGCATTTGACCAGAACAATTACATTGCAAAGTTAGAAACCTAGAAAGCATAAGAAACAACAATGAGGAACACAGTTCTTATATATTCTTTTTCATATATAGCATTCATTTGAAAGATCATATTAACATTGTGAGAATCCGTTTGGATTTCTCAAAATTATTTGATTTATCAAGTTTGCATCAACCAATGTCCACCATGCATATTTGTAATTCTCACAACCTCTACTGCTTAGCTTATACCCAACATCAGCCAGCAGTAATGCTAGTAAGGATAACTATGGACCATTCTACAATAACATTAGGGAAAGTTTCAAGAGTTACGATTTAATCACACCTAGTTTACACCCATTATCCATGTCAGCAGTTCTAAGCAAGAATTATTAGAAACTCATTGTTCCCTAGGAACACCAAGACAAATATCTATCTCAAAAAATATACAATCTCATTTATACATGCACAACATATAAGCTCATTTATACATGCATAAATCGCGTCCGTATCTTGATGGAAAACATCAACTCATCAACTCAAAGATTATATTGAACAAGACGACCAAACGTAAAAGATGATTTTCAAATTTAAATTCAAGTGAGAAATTAATAACCATCATTTCCTATAACATTTCATTAGTCATCCATGTTAATCCAATACTCCCGACTTCCCGAAAGTCCACCACCGGCCATGTCAATCTCAATTGATTTCCTAAACCCAATTTCTCTTCCATGTAATTTAAAAAAAAAAAAAAAAAAAAAATACTCAAAGATTATATGTGACAAGACTAAACGACCAAACGCTAAAAGATGATTTTTCAATTTAAATTCAAAGTGAGAAATTAATAACCATCATTCCTATAACATTTCAATTAGTCATCCATGGTGATAATGACCATCTCCCGACTTCCCGAAAGTCAACCACCGGCCCAATGTCAATCTCAATTGAATTTCCTAAAGCCATTGTTTCCTCTTTCCATGTTAATTTAAAAAAAAAAAAAAAAAAAAAGTTCTAACGGCAAAAAAAAAAAAAAAAAAAAAATTCTAACCATCTGATTGACCACTCTTAGAATCCCTGAAATCAGCAACCATTTCTTTTTCCTTCTCTTTCGGATCCTTTTCCTATTTCTCTGATTCCTTCTCTTTCGGATCCTTTTCCTCTTTTTCTTTCTCCAATTCCTTCTTGACCTCCTCCTCGGCAGCTTCTTTCTCCAATTCCTTCTTGATCTCCTCCTCGGCAGCTTGCTCTGCTCTCAAAATGGGCTCATAATAATCAGAATGGGCCTGCATACATTTCCTCAGAGCCGCAGTCGCATCAAAGCACTTTTCAACAACATCTTTCTTTTCAGCTTCAGCTTCTTTGACGCAGTCTTCCCAATTTATAAAAGCATCTCTGCACCCACCTCCTTTCATGAATAAACAAAACCCACATTCTCCTTCCTCCTCTTCTTCTACGACATCCTGGTTTTCCTCTTCTGGGTTTTGTTCGGTGGGTTTTGTTGATTGATCTGTTTTTGAGGATTCGGGATCGGAAGAGGTCATGGTAGGGTTTAATGAATCAGAAGAGGAATTGGGGTTTTGACTTTGAGAATCAATTGAAGAGAAGAAAGAACCCATGGCTTCTCGGCTTAAAACCTCCTTAAAACCCTTCTTGAGTCGACCGACGGCTGCTTTTTTTAATGGGTTATTTTAATTATCGGTCAAGGAAAATAGTTGGACTGACTAACGCGCATTGGATTTATTAGACTTACTGATTATATTATTTTTATATTATTTTTATTTTTATAATGTAAAATATAATTTTACATTAACAAATAAGTAATTAATAAAATAATAATTAAAATACCATGTGTTAAGCATATTGGATGACATGACACAATTCTAAAAATTTGGTTTCCTTGATTCGAATTGATTTTTTTAATTAAAGAAAATTATTTTTAATATCATTTATAAATATTGATATATCATTAATAATATTAATATTTTATAATTTTTAATAATTAATAATTTAATAAATTAATAAAATAATAATATCATTAATATTTATAATGTTCAACTTTCTTTTTTTAAACAGGTAATAGTCAATGAAATCAAATAAATATCAATTATCTTAATTTTAAAATCAATAAGAATTATAAACGAAATTAATATATATATATAAATATATATATATATAATATAATATATATATTTACAATTGCCTATTTTGCCTTTTATTTTATTTATTGAGTTTATTATTCTAATAACTTAATTTTTTTATTTAAGATATTAATGAGCAAATAATTAATGATATTTTCAATTTTATATTTGCCTTTTTATTTTATTTATTTATTATTCTTATAACTTAATTTTTTAATTTAGATATTAATGGAGCAAATATTACTGATATTTTCAATTTTATAATTATTATCAAAATTAATATGATCATTCATATTCATTTAAAATAGCAAAACGTTTATAATTAATTAAATTAATAATATAATTAATATTTAAACAATAAAAATTTGAATATCCGCAGAAAATGCAAGTACATGACTATATCTATATATATATATATATATATATCTTGCAGAATCAACTTCTTCCTGATGCTCCAAACAGTACAAACATGTAAAAATACTGCAGTTCGTCAAATGAGAATCAACATACCTGTATGCTCACTTGGGCTGGCTGAAGACGGAAGCAAGCCACCATTATATATATGGCCAAAATTTGCCTTCCTAACTTTATTGTATCATATGAATTCATGAAAATTACCAAGAGACACTATAAATACCATTCCAACAGTCAACTATCTTCACAGGAAATAAATATTGGAGACAGAAAATTATTAACAATACACAAGCAAAATAGTAGCATAATACAATCCAAATAGCTAAAAAGATACCAATCCAAATTTCTATAATTGCATAAAGTTTCAAATATGAATAGAAAAATCTACATATTGAGCTCTATAGTTCACTAATCTTAGCAGCTAGATAACTAAAATATGTTTGCTTAACTATTTTGCTCGCCGGTCTTCCCTCTGTCTCCACTGCAACAGTAGAAGTGCGGCAGCTTAACCTTACCACAGCTCCTGAAACCAAATAATAGATAGAACACATTATTCGCTGTGGCACTGACATACTTAAAAGCAAAGATTCAAGGAGATGTATCGACCAATCAAATTAAGACTAGTTCCAGAATTGTTGATTCCTTTCAAGGTTAATGATGAAATAGCACACGTCGAAAAATTTGACTTTCAGAAAAAATTATGAATAGTCATTTTATGGAGATTGAGATTTCTAAAAGTCAGATCAAAGTTGTTCCTTTGGCAACATTTTTTAATGCGAAAGTAAACTTTCTACAATATAAATACAAACATCTTTTAATTCTGCAATAGTAATTCAAACATCTACTAACTATTGAAATCAGATTAAAGTTCACAAACATTTCTCAGCGAGTAGATTTCCCAAAATTTCCTACATCATTGGCAAAACTTACCTACAACGGATAATCACTGGAATTGGTTTTAAAGCCTTTGGTCCATTTCGTATGCCTCTCTTGTGGGGAGAAACCTGCATGATTTACAGAGCATCAAATATCACTAATGTATATATCTGTAGTGTGTACGAGGTTTTCACACTTCAAAACCATTGAAATGAGTACTCATAACACTAACAGAAGCTCTAATCACTAATTAATAAGCCAAAGACTATAACATATACTCATAACAGAATCTCAAATGACTAATTATTAGCAGCGATGCATATCCGAACTGAGCATTAGCAACCCAATCAAAATCAGACTGCGAGGACCCTCAGGGATCAATTTTATAAATTTTCAAAACATTCGATATGTAGTTATTTCATTAACTAATCCTAAACATGCTCTTATCAAACATCAAACTTATGGGAAAAGGAAAATAAAAAGGCAAGAAATAGAACACCACAAATAAATTCAAAAAATCATAACTTGAACAACATAATTTTAGACAAGCCAGGTTGATCAATTCAAAAGTAAAGCTATCAGTAGCCCCAAACCCCAATACATTAATTACCCTCCACTAAAACCCAAAACCCTAGTTAGCCCAAAAACCAGAACATAACCCAAATCCTAAATAACAATAAACATAAATAACAATGAGTATGCTGATAATAAGAATAACGATTATGCACGCACTCTAAAGCTTAACAATAAGACCGAAAAAATTACCTTCTTTTTTGGAACGGCCATCAGTTCCATGGATCCACCAAAAGAGAAACTCGGGAACCCAAACTCTAAGTTGTTATTATAGTTGCTACTGCTACTACTCTCTGGGGTTTGATCGAACTCCGGTAAAACCATATGTGTAGGTGCGACCGTGCGATGGAGGGAACAATCCAACGGCGGGGAAATGGCTACTGCATGAATCCATCTCAAGAGCCCAAAAGTGCATCCGTTATTGCCACTGCTGGCTTTTAGCATCCCCAGTCTCAACGCCATTGTTACAATGAATACAGGGATCTCTGTTTAGGTCAGCAATGTGTATCGAGATTTTGGTGAAGAAGAAAAGAATAAATCAAAACAGTCAAGAAGAGACTGGATATGAATGAAACGACCCCGTTTGCATTGTGTTTTATTTTTACTTTTTATTCTTAGATTAATTATCAATTTAGTGCATGAACTTCTAACAATTTTTTTTTTTTAGCGTATGAAGTGGAAATGTTTAAATTTTTTATTTTATATTTTGCTATCAAGTGTGTCTGAATTATCACAAATTCATCAATTAAGTGTAATTTGTTCTTTCTATATACTCTATTTAGTGTGTCTGAAAATGAGACTGCCTCCCGATCCACCTTGTCCCCGGGCAATGTCAATAGAGCCTTCACACTATCAACCAACTGGGAAATTACTTCCCTGGAATTGAGAGGAACAGATACGGGCGCTTTAGCCGTATATGTAGCAAATTTAGTGATATTCACTTCCACTGATTTCTGGTTGAGAGTATTCTAAACTGAATTAGATATGGAAGACTTCAAATTGTATCAAACAAAATATGGTATCTCTTGTCACTCTCTGACTCAACTAAAGATAAAGCCGCTCCAATATTACCAGCCCCCTCTTTGTCTGTCCTGGATTTCAGCCAACCTCTCTCCTTTCAGCCTCTTCACAATTTGCCGCGAAGAGGGATTAAACAAACGGTCACGAATAAACTTCCTCTCCTCAGCTTGTATTTCTTTAATGGCACTAGCATATGGATTACGGGGAGGTCTTTTGCGCTGAATATGAGCAATTTGTTTCAACCGCGCATAAGCCTTCTTTTTTGCCTTTCTCTCTTCCACACATTCCATCTGAACACCAAAATATCATAAAGGATTTAAAACTAGGCAAGGGGGAAAGAATGGAACATTATAAACATGTTCATGGCAATGTAAAACTCAAGAATCCACAACAACGTACATTAGCTAAAGCCATAGCTTCCTCCTCAGGAACTCCTTGCTCTTTCAATTCAAGCACCCGCCTACCAAATACGCGAGCTGGAGAGGGATCAAAACCACAAAACCTGTACAGATATAAAGCATAGTTGAAAGTTTTAATTTTTGTTACGTAGATGACAGAGCCAAAATCTCAAAGTGTCTGGTAAAAGACATACTAAAAAAGGCACTGTCAATTTTGAAGAATACCTGGAGTTAGAAAAACAAGCAAGTCTCAGCACTTGAAAATGTTAATAATAAACAGAAGAAAGCAAAATGATAAAATGCAAAAGTTTAATAGTTTATTTCAAAAACATCATATAATAATTATCATTCCCAGACATCACTCAACAACACAAGCAAATCAGTACTCGAATAAGTGATCTGGGTTGGAAATCCAAAACTCAACATTGGCTGAAAGTCCAAGAATAGTTGTTCAAATAGGGAAAAAAAATACAAATTCCCATAACTTTTAAATTCAAAATAGCAAGCAACATCTCATAAGCATATACCCATATGAAATTCAAATTAGTAAGGTAAAATTGAGAATCATAGTAGCTGAAATTTTGGCACATTAGAAAACTATAATAGCATTAGGAAAAAGAAAAATCCCTGAAAACCCTAATTGCACCGGATAAAATAAAACCCACAAAAGAACAGTAATAGTAAACAGAACAGAATATACATACTTGATAGTATCTTCAAGTTTGGCATCTGGATGCTTCTTGAAGAACTTATTTTTATAAGGATCCTCAGGTAGACCAATCTTCTGAACTTTCCCATCCGCCCCAGGAAATATCGCAGGCGGTGCCCTAATTGATGAAATCAAATTGGGAAAGGGCAAAAAAAGGTTAAGAATTTCGATATGAATGAAAAGGGATCAATTCAATGGCAATGTTCTATTAAAAATTAAAATTTTTCATCACAGAAAGAAAAATAGAAGACTCACTGTTCCATGGGCTTGAGCCAAATAGGCTCGGCCTTGGCCAAGCCCTTGACGAGCTTTCTAGTTCTCGTTAGCAGGTCTCCTCTCATGAACGACAAGGCTGCTGCTGCTTTCGTTCTCTTGCCTTCCTTTTCAAGTTTCAATTCCTGGTAGAATGGTAGTAAAAAAAAAAAATGTTAAAACAGCGTCGTTGCAGGAAGAGAGTCCAGAGCTTGAAAAAGCGGGCCAGCTATTGGATGCGGGCTTGGGTTGGCCAGAACAAGAGATACAAGGAAGTGTCAGCTTGTCATTGGCCCTTACTCATTGCTCAATTAACCACTCAATACCACCCCACTCTCTCCCCTCCCGCCATGGAATTTGCAGCATCAGGATCTTCAGCACCCAAGGCCTTTAATCACCTTGCAACTTCTATAGTCCAAAGACTGCCTAACCGAACTTCCTTCATCCCACTATGGCCTACTGCAACACGCAACTTGCTTCTGCCTGCCTCAAATCCTATCTCAAGAAACAAAACCCTAACCTCTCTTATCACTTGCTGCTCAACAAAACCAGACACCAACAGAAACAATGGAACAAGCCAAGATTCAAGCTTTCTATCCAATTCTAACCGAAAATGTCAAAATCCATCAATTCCCATTTCAAGAAACTCACTTTCCTCTTCTTTTCCACCTTCATCATTGTCTAAAGGCTTGGTGTTTGATTTGGGTCCTGTAAATTCATGGGATGATAAAGAAATTGGGTCACCAGTAGTAAAAAGGTTCCTTAGTGATGAGGGGGAGAGATGGTATATGTGGTACTATGGCAATTCTAGTGAAAATCCGGATTCTGATTCTATAGGATTAGCAATTTCCAACAATGGGATTCACTGGGAAAGAGGGGTAGGGCCTGTTAAATCAAGTAGTGATGTTGGTATGGTAATGAAATGTGGTCAAGATTGGTGGGCATTCGATACAATGAGTATTAGGCCTAGTGAAGTGGTCATTATGTCCAGTGCTAAAGTTAGAGCGTCGAGTGCCGTGTATTGGCTTTATTACTCTGGCTTTAATACTGAAAAAGTTGATGTTGCTGCAAATGATGATTCTTTGGAGTTTCATTTAGAAAATCCAGAAAGGTTTTGCTCTGGTAATAAAAATAAAAATTTCTTTAACTCCTTGCCTGGTTTGGCCATAAGTCAAGACGGGAGACATTGGGCAAGAATTGAAGGAGAGCATCACAGTGGAGCATTGTTCGATTTAGGGACTGAGAAAGATTGGGATTCTTTGTTTATCGCTAGCCCTCAAGTTGTCTTTCATGGAAATGGTGATTTAAGGATGTATTATCACTCATTTGATATTAAAGATGGGAAATTTAGTATTGGAATGGCAAGATCAAGAGATGGGATTAGGTTTGTGAAATTAGGGAAGATACTGGGAGGAGGAAAAATTTGTTGTTTTGATGAGAATGGTGTAATGAATGCTAGTGTTGTTAAGAATCAAAAAGATGGTAAGTATTTTATGGCATATGAAGGTGTTGCTGCTGATGGAAAGAGAAGTATTGGATTGGCTATGTCTCTTGATGGATTAAAAGGGTGGCAGAGATTACAAGATGAGGAAGGAGTTTTAGAGCCATCAGAAAAAGATGAATGGGATAGCAAAGGAGTTGGGAGTCCTTGTTGGTGCAAATGGATGGTGATGTTGATGAGTGGAGACTGTATTATAGAGGAATTGGAAACTCAGGAAGAGTTGGGATTGGAATGGCATTTTGTGTTGGAAATGATATTAGTAGTTTTAGAAGATGGACTGGTTTCCAATTATGAGAATGGTGTGAGAGTTTTGTGTTATCCTCTGTAAATTTTCTTTTTCAAATTTATGATTTACATTTTACAATAAAAAAAAAAACGATGATTTCTTTCATTAGCCTCTTGAGGTTATAATTTGCAATTTTCTTGATAAGCTAAAATTTTAAAGGCACTGAAATGTTGAATTACTAATTTAATAACACTTCACATATTAATTTGTTTTGGAAATTTTTCTAAATACCCCCAAATTGAACCACATGGACATTAAATCCTTAGTTACAAAACAAGAGAGATAATAAACAAAATGAGATTAATCGATAGAAAATTTAGGGGCAGGAGATCGTTAATTATTCTATCCAAGCTTGAACTGATCATGAGTTATGATCACACTTAGATCCCGTCCAATGGGCTTTTGATCAAAGCCCAACATTGGTTCAACAATGTTTTGAAAAGCGCTTCTGGGCCCAGCTTTATCAATTTATATAATCATAATCCTAAAAAAAATAAAAAATTAAATTAATGACTTATTTTTCCTCAGTATGAGAAAGTCTGATAATTTAATAAGTTTAAATAGATATTTATGAACTGAAATTTCCTTCTCATTCAAAAACAAAAAAGAAAAGTGCTGTTACACATGTACTATCTCTTATTAAATTACAAATTTGAATTTAAATGGATTTATGAATAATAAATTATTTTTATTTTTATTTTTATTATTATCATTTAAAAATTAAAAAAAAAACATTTATAAATGTTTTATTATAAGAATGTAAGAAGTAAAAGATTTCTTGTTAAGGTTATATCTTACTGTAATATGATTAATATTACTTTAATTCGTTGACTTTTAATTAGTAGAACTTCTATAATTGAAGACATTTGAATTTAAAACATTATATTTTTTATTTTTATTTTTTTATTTTTATTTTATTTTTTTTTTGCGAAGCCAGCTTTTATTAGCTAGAGTTTCGTTAGGGGCGCTTAGAGTGATGGTACCTAAATGTAATACATTTGAATTACAGATTGAAGATACTTTCCTTTCAACAAATCATCAAATAGTTATTTGATTTGGTTTGATGATTTGTTGGTTTGAGAACTGAGACTAATGATTTTATTATAGATATTTTCTAATCACAAATCACAAACAACTAAAAAGTTCTAGCTCACTGATTCCATCTTCGATTTGATTTAATTTAGTACAACTTGATGTAAGATGCATTTAAGTGACCTAATAAAGAGTGAATCTATTAATTAATCAACAATTATTTAGTTACCACTAATTAATAAATTAATCTTTATTAAGATTAATATGCATAAGTTGACTAAAAATATTCTTTATTGTCAATCAAGTGTAGTTTGATTTATCTTTTCACATATTGTAGAAAATTTAAAAAGTGAGAAATTTCGAACTTGAGTTATTTCTACCATAAAAATTATTACTAATTTAGTGAATAATATTCAATCTATTCTAAAATATAAATCGTTTAGGATTTTTGTATAAAGATTAAGGAAGCAATTAATTCTCATAAATTAAAACAAACTCAACGACAATTTAACCAAATTATCCTTTATCTTAAAACCAATAGTTGCTTGTGAAGTTTTTATTGTATTCAGTGTAAACAAGACAATATTGAAAAAAAAATATTTATTACTTTTTGAAATACACAAAATGACTTATATTTAAAACAAAATAACAAATAAAAAACGACGACAGAGGGAGTTTTCGAAGAAGAGGGTTACCCTTGATTATCACCAATTTAATAAATAATATTTAAAGAGAATGGCTATCCCTGCTACACACAAGAAGGACTAAGAGAGTCCGAACTCCAGAATTTTTTTAAAATTTACTTTATAATTGAGTAAAAGAATTTTTAAAATTTGCTTTATAATTGAGTAAAAAAAATAATTCTTCACTTTAGTCTATAACTTTTGAAAATTTTATTTTGGCCTCCCTAAATTCTAAAGTCTAGCTTTGCCTCAGATAACTCATATGTTCTCTTGGTCCATTAGACTGTTGGGATTATAACTTATCCCGAGTGGGGCCCGTGGAAAAATATCGATGGTAAAAGTAAAATAAAATTACTATTACCACATATACCTCCAATAATTAAATATTGAATATTGACGATCGAATCCATAAATAAATATTCTATTACCACATATACGTCCAATAATTAAATATTGAATATTACGATCGATTATAATAATCACGGTAAAAATTAAATAATTATCGTAAATGCCAGATGAAAAAATAAGAACACCGAGATTTACGTGGTTCACCCTTCAACAGTAATGGGCTACGTCCACGGGACAAAAACTCTGAATAATTCTTCTACTAAAAAATAGTAGGTACAAAGGAGATTACAAAAATAGTAGCATTTTAAGTGTTTAAACAAAAACACCCCAAAAATTTCAATCCTTACTATTTTCTCTCTTTCCCAATTTTAGGAACCCTCTCCTAAAATTTTCTATACACTCTATGTATTTCTATGCTTTCGTTTTTGTACAATTTGAAGTGAAAATCCTTCTCCTTTTTATAGGAGAAGGGGACGAAGTGGACGCGTTAATTCCCTTTTCTTTCTTTCTTTGGCACCGTCCATTGAAAAAAAAAAAATAAACGTGCCTATATTTTTTTTTCTTCATTCAAACGTGTGCATTCAAACGTGTTGTGGATCCCACACGTTTGAAATCTCTTTCTTTCTTTTTTTTTTTCTTTTCAAAATGTGTGTGGGTCCCAAAGTGTTGAGGACTCCACAACAATCTCCCTCCCCGACACATGGTGGGACTCCTCCATCCCTGCT